AATCTTTGCCTTGAATTTGGCTTTATTTTTGCTTAAACTTCACATCCCCCAAAACATTGTGTCACTTAAACAAGCAGCTAAACTGATTGTGAGAGGACATTTCGATCTATCTCTAATTAATCTATCGGTAACTAAGCTATCTCTTGCTTTTCTTACAAGGAAATGACACCAGCTCGAAGTTCAGATCGTTTCGTTTTCATAAAACTTACAATTCTCAAAATAGTTCATCGTTTTCATAAAACTTACAATTCTCAAAATAGTTCATCGATTTCAACGTAGCCTTATGAACTTCAAAATGCAAAGATATTGATCATCAACTTCAAAGTGCAAAGAAAAGGTTCTTTATTGATTCTGGTATCGTAACAAAGCAAAAATTTGCGTTTTTTACACAAATAAAATGTTTTGTTGTACAAAGAACACTGCTTTTGTTGCCAGAGTTAAGAAAGTCATGAGCTAATGTTGGCAGAGTTCGAAAAATGTATATGAACTCCATGATGATTCTATAAACAAATTTCATGTTTTCAAAAGTTGTAAAGGGTGCATAAAGCATAAATATTAGATTAGCAACTTGAAAGTTGGTACATTTATTCATTGCACTTTTTAGAAATAACTAGCGCACCAATCGATCTACAGTTTTTACCAATAAAAAGGTCCATTAAAAACTTCGAAAGCAGGTATTTAACAGATTTAGAAAAGCTTCGGTTTTGTAGGTTTCTAAGGGGGGCAAGAAGTTGAGGAACCAAAAATGTTGAACAGCGTTAGGCGAACGGTGAACGTTAGGCGAACGTTAGTGATCGTTTTCCCCTGGTGGAATGAATATTTTCATATTTACTGTACGATCTCTTGTTGTACGTATTAAAAATTTCATTACAATGCAATCTTTTTTCAAGAATCTTCCGAACCACATCAAAATCTCTATCCAAATCTCCTCATTTCCATTGTTTTTCCATTTTCGATCACTTTTATTGGATCGTCTTTCATTTTTTTTGTATCTCTCTTTTCCTTGCGACTAAAAACAGTTTGTTTATCGCTTTTTAATCACATTTTCTTTTTTTTCGTTTCACTTTCCATTAGACGATTCGAAATGGATTTTTTTTTGATGTCAGATGACTCAAAAAGCTTTGATCACTCAAATTTTAAACTCTTTGAACTCTAGAAGCTAAGCCATTGCTTGTACTTTGTACCTGTAAAGATACGCATTCCGGCTCACTCAATTCTTCACTTTCCTTATGACACCAAAGCATTTCTTTAGAAAAATGGGGAATTCAGTGCACCAGAAAGGTGTGTTTACAGTTTTACAATGTACACCACTAGTAGGATTCGCACTTAGGACATTAGGACAAAACAAATGCAAACTTTCAATTCTGTTTTCTTTCCCCGTTTAGTTACGCACTTGTTTGCCCAGGTGATCTTTTCGTTACAAGTTTTCTGCCACGAATTCATTTTAAATCTCCAAAATCCGGTTCCAGTTTTTGAAAACTTTCCCCACTTTCGGGTCGAATCCCACGACAGATTTTTTGCGTTGGCTAGGGTAAACAAGCCTTCAAAAGCTTTTAATCAAAAAAAAAAATTCTCGTTCTGCAATACACTTTGCTTTTTATTGTACTTGAGTAGTTTGAAAGAATACTTTTAATGTAGATTTACTTTCTTTCTTCCTTTCTTCTTTCCCTTGTCTTCATTTTTGGCGATTTTTGACCGTTTTTTGGTTACTTTTGACCTTTTTTTGAAGTTTTTTAAGAAACCAAGCTAAAATCTTTTCTAAAATACGTTTTTAGACTAAAAAAGTACATGAAGAATCCGAATTTGACTTCAGATTTGTTTAAAAATGCCGAGTTAAAAAGTTGGAAAATTTGGCCTTGCACCGAACTCAGGAGAATCAAAATTCTTATCGTAAGAACTCGAACTAGATAAGAGCTTTTAGGCTCATAACCTTAGAAAATGATCAAGGTAAAACTTTGTTTTTGAGTGTAAGACGATATCTCACAAAGAGACAAGAAAAATATCACCTTCTACCACCGCCAAAATGGTTTTGAGCGCTACTGTAAGTTAGTCCAGAAACAGGCCAAGTCTTAGCTGCTGGCTTCTGGCTGACTCAAGTTCAAGTACTTTTGTAAACTAGGAAAAGCTAGGCTTAATCTTACCCCAGACATACTGGCTGGCTTTCCTAGTTACATATGCTCTAATTGACCAGCTCTAATTGCTCTAATCGAGTCAAGCCAGAACTACAGAACTCAAGTACTTTTTGTAGGCGAAGTCAGACAAAACCATGGATCTCCTATGTAGAAATCTGTAAGCTAGTTTCTGGTTGGCTAATGTACTTTTGGTGGACCAGATCCGCAATAAAATCAAGCCAGGAAAGGACCAAGCCCTGGCCTTGGCCAACCCGAAGAATTTCCCCTCAGAACAAGCCTTTAGAGAAATTGGAACAACGGGGATTACTCGAACATCGATCCTAACCTATAACTTTATAATTTTCAATGTGTGTTCCGTTTGAAGCCGTTTGAAATGCCAATCTGATTCAACTCACTCTTTCCTATACAATGTGTCACCATTTCGAAATTTCAAAACCCCATCCCAATGCCATTCTGTACACCCACAGGCACCCACACAAACGGACGTAAATTTTTTTGTGTCCCTGCCCATCCCCTGTATTTGTTTTGCCGATTGCGTGTCTCTTCTGGGGGTCTTCTTTCGCATTTTGCTTCTTCTCATAGTCAGCTAGATACATAACATCGACTCTCCCCCCCACTCTCTCCTCCCGTTTTGTCTCATCTTTTTCTCTTTGTTTGAACTTCATATAATCGGGGTATCAGCATTACCTAGAGAGGTTTTTTTTCGGGTCTTTTCTACGTTTTCAGTGATTTTTCTCATTTTCAGTCATTTCTCATGTACACTTTCATAAATTCTAAACACACCTTTTCTGGTGCACTGAATTCTTACAGAAGGAGCCCGAATTTGGACTGATTCTCACAAAAATCAGCGGCGTAATATAAAAGATAGATCAAATCAGTTAAACAGCTGAATAACATTACATTTGAAGGGAATTTGCCAGCAAATCAGTTAAAAGGCTGAATATCTTTAAAAAGAGCGTATATAAGGCAGTGCTCATGATTTTTGCAATAATTTTCTCCAAAAGTACGGTAACTTTCTTAATGTGCGTTTTTTAAAACGCATTACTCGCGAGCAACACACTCTATTCACCATTCACCACCATTTTGATACTATTAAAACATAGTTATGTACTGTAATAATTTTTGCGCTATCATTCCACACTGTAGCAGTTCAATGTACTGTAATTGGAACTTGCAGTTGCGGTTATACTCCGGGTTATACCCATACATCTGGGTTATGGCTATAACCCAGGGTTATCCCCATACATCCGATACCCAACGCAATTGTACTAATACCAGTACTATTTTGGGTTATCCCTATACATCAGGGTTATGGCTATGCATCTGGGTTATACCCATAAAACAAGGTTATTCGTTACTGTAATAGTAACAGTAGATAAGACTTCCGAAAATAGTTCTAGCTCTATTCTGTCTACATTGACAATATCCTCCCAATTTCATTGTGTTCCCGATTTCCATTTCATGTCTTCTCATCGCTAAACACTGGCACGGCCGATCTTTTCGTCGTTTATGAGTATCGCGTGTGCTTTTCGTTCGTCGAAAAGCCCTCGAAATGGCCATGAAATGAATTGGGGTGAAAAGAGAGGGGACAGTCGTATGCAAATCGGGCACCCCATCCCTTTCTCCTTTTCCTCAAAGATTTCAGGCTATTCACGCCGGCCACACCCTCTTTTCACTCTTTTGCTCTTTTATGGAACGCGTGTGAATTCAGGAAATGCTTCTTCACATAACTTGATGCTGAGAATATAAAGTGTGCTTCTTCACCAAAGTTTTCAATCATTTCTCTAATTGTTGAAAGTTTTGGGGGAAAAGTTTGATACTGTTATTGGGCAATTCAAAGTGAATCAAAGCACTTTGTCAATATGTGTACTTTGTTTGAAACTGTAAAGCTTGTTTGTTTGTTTGTTTGAAACTTTAAAGCTGTAAAGCCTGGTGAAGTGATCCGGGTACAGATCTACGCTCAATAATCCCAACAATGATTGTCGTTTTTAGCAATCATGAGAGTACTTGATTGTTTCAATTTTGGCACGAATTTACGATAATGTAGAATGCATATCGTATCTGGGAGTTAGTTATGCAATTGGAAATTTAAAAATTGTACAATTAGAGCCAAATTACCCTTTTCTCTACCTTTAACGCCTCAATTACTAGGGCATTGTTTTCCGATAATTGTCGCCTTTTCTGCGCGTTTCCCCTTCATTTTGATAACTTTATCTCTTCATCTATCTTTAAATGTTTCCACTCGATAATTTCTGCAATCCATTAGCGCTATTTTTGGTTTTTTTTGATCAATTTTAGGGCTTACGATTTACGAATTTACGAACACCCATCGTAAGAGGTTCGTAAAAGGCTCGAGGCTCTCAAAAATGTAACACCTTTTTGTCCGAGAAAGGCGGTGTCCCTCATGTCCTTTATCTCAATGAAGAGAGCTCCTTTCCCCGTTTTTTCACCTCTGCACTCCTTTCCTCGAAATATCTTGTCCTTTTTGCTCTTTTTTCTCCACTTTTTGAATCAGCTTCTTCTTTCTCTTTTTCTCCAAGACCCATTCGAGCGGGAAATTTTGTTTTCTACACCTCTTCACAAGTTATTTCGCTTCTCTTACTCAGAAAAGGATACTTTTGGTTTTCGTTAGATGTTGGCTGAAACCGGTTACACACTGATTTTGTTGATGGCATTTTAAAAGTTTAACTATAACTCAACTTCTCATCTTTGCTAAATTGGTTGCTTCCGACTCTTTAAACTGCCAAAACTTTTCATCTCATTGCCTTAATGAAAAGTTTTTCATAAATGTGTTTTCTGATACGAAGTGCATTTGATTGACTCCAAAAATTCAGTTCTCTACACATTCGTCTATGACAATTGCCAGAGATGACTGTTGACACCGACTATCAACAACTGCTCACACTTTATGGAGGAATTGTCGGCGATATGAAAGTGAGTTTTGAAAAGATCCCTGCTACAAATCAAAACACAGCTAAAAATTGAATTGCGCTGCTTTTGCATTCGGAATTCTTGTAGAACCTTGAATAAATGGGATGCCTTTTTTCTAGAAAAAGTCTACCAATATTTGTTCCAAAGACATACTAGCGTTCTCTATTATGTACCTTTAACATTCAAAAAGTGGTTGAAAGCTAATCCGACAGCTCGATTTTTCGCCCACTAAACAACTCTCTTGTTGCCCGCAAAATTGGTGGCGGTTGGTTCTTTTTAAGCGATCTGTCCATCATATCCATCAATGTCATCTCGTTTCAATGCCCCTCCATCAACTCTCATGTGGGTGACCATTGGGCTAATGGTTTAAAAATTTGGCCCATTTCGTAAAATAATACGTCAATTTTGAAATGAACATTTGGAAGAGAAAATTTAGCTTCTTAGTAATAACGCATCCCTAAGCATTGGCAACTTTAGATTTAAACTACGTGCTCTGGAAAAAACAACTTGAAATTTATTTATGCGTCACAAACAACAAAAATTTATCAACAAAAGGAAAATTATTTACTCTTCATCGTCTCCTCCGGCATCACCTTTCTTCATCGAACGTCTCTTCACTCTTCCTGGGCGGCCGCCTCCCAATGGTGATGTAAGGGCGAATTCGATGTGCTTCTGGGAATCGAGTCGAACCATATATGAAGGAACGTTGACGACTTGGCGACGAACACTAAATAATACGCCTTGTACTCCATAAAATATATTTGCCTAATCTCAAAATACTAATAAGATCAACAAAAACACTTTATCATTCACAAGTTACTATTTACGGACTTCATAGCTCAAAGGCCGTTACTTTCAACATCGTAGCTTTAGAATATTCGAGTAAAACCCTCTATATCAAACTGTTGGCGCGCTTTGTCCTTGCTTCAACTCCTTTAGTCAACAACTAGGTTTTAGTTAAAAGATAAACTAACCGGATGTGTCTTTGGCGGATTAGGACACGAGCATGGTGGATCGATTTGGCGAGACCGAGTTTGAACACTTGTGTTTGGAGACGTCGCTCAAGGAAATCCTCCACGCGTAGACCGAGGACATAATCGAGCTTCATCTTGTCTTCGGGGAGCACACCGATGCGGACGAGACGACGGAGAAGAGCATTTCCCTCGAATAATCGTTTCGGATCCTTTTCTTCCAACGTCAGCAAATCTCGGGCAGCTTTGCGCACCTTGGCCAAAGTGTATTTGACGCGCCACACTTCACGCTTGTTCGCCAAACCGAACTCGCCGATGAGCTTGAGTTCCTAAAAAAAAGTACATTGAAAGCTAACAAATATAAGGTTTAACTTATGATTTTACTTTAAAGCTATTCACCACGCAATCCAAACCTAGAAAATTCATTGTTTTACACATTCTTTGTCACCATTAGAGTAACGACACTTTGCTCATTTCAAATGATCAAGCTTTGTGTCCTTATCTTTTTATCTAACAGACCTTTTTGACAACTAGTAGCTTATTATTAGAGCTCCATTTGAAATCAATTTATTTTCAGAAATCCATTAACGTTTTTCTTGTTGACTCGCACATTGTACGGCGTTTTTACAATTCTAAATGCAACAAAATGGGACACGAAGTCAACCCAAAGTGTCTTCCCCTACCAGATTGTCAAAAAAAGCCAACGGCTTTCACCACGTTAGCGAAATAAAGGCAAAAGTATACCTGGTCAAGACGCTCCTTCTCGAATGGACGGCGTGGCGTCTTCGTGACTTTTGAATGAACACATTTCACCCGCGGCATGTTACCTGTAATCGAAAAAATTAGTCTTTAGCCAAACGAGAACAAGGCACGGCAATTTCGAAACAAAGAAAAAAGAAAAAGCAAATAAACAAAACAAATAATTTAAACAAATCGTAATCATGATCGGTCTATACGCAACAAATTTTACTTACAATTTCTTGTTTCATTCGATTTTAAACGATTCGTTGCGAAAATTTCGTTTAATAAGTAAAAATCGACCCACAAGGTCGAAACTTCGAAAATTTTGGCAAAAAATGAAATGTTTGCGGAAAAAGTTCCTTCGTCGAAACAAGGGGTTACGGTAGCGCCAATGTCGTGTTTACGGTACTTCCTACACTTTAGAAAGCATCAGCTTAAGCACAACGAATTTCAAAAACGCTTACAAGCATGATTTTCAATATTTTCTTTTAGTTTTAGCGTTGATAAACTTGAAATAATTGCATTTTCTATAAATTTCCCACATTTTAGCAATCTTATGGGGCATGGGACACGGTCGGTCAACGGGCAAATAAGCTGGCAACTACACTTCGAGCTACATCAGCTGCTCTTTTGGTAACGATTTTAGAAAATAAAGTTAGACTTAAAACTGAGCCTTTTATCAATGCAAATTACCAATATCTATGACTTTAAGTAATCCAAGAGCACATTTTAACTTTTAAATTTCAGAGCTTTTTGGACGCGATTCAGTCGGTGAGCGACATCGCCAACAATTTGAAAGGTACGGTTTGAAAACAGTTAAATTTAGATTTTAAAATGAAACTACTGATATTAATAGATACAATAAAGTTGAAAATTAGGTGCTTCGCGAGATGTCGGAGCTTGTGTGACACGTGTTTGTATGCGGGAAAGAGCCGTCGAAGCTCGATTGCGATCCACGGCCGACACACTATCTGAACATGTAAGTCAAAAACTGAAAGCACAAATGATCTTGTGAACCTTATAAGTTGTTTGGACCTGAACAATCCAAGATTACTACTGTATTTTAGCCTTTTTGCTTTAGCTGTTACCTTATGTACTCCTCTCGAATTGTCCCCTTTCTTTTTCAACCGTAATCATATCTATATTTTTATCCGATCTACTTTTAATCTGATTTTGTGAAGGTTCACAATGATACCGAGAAACATTGCACAATTGCAGGTTGCCCCAACGATTCTCCAACGCATCAGCTACTGGAAAAATCGTACCTATGACTTGGAGAAGAACAACGCAAAGCAGATGAAAAAGGTGAGATCAAGGCTTTATTTTCTATAATTTGAGGATTTAGAGCCGCACAAAGAACCCGGATCCGTCAACAATTGCAAATCAACGAAATGCGTGTGCTCGAGCTCTGTCAGAGCAACGACAACAGTTCGAATTCTTCGTGAAAGCGATTATGCCCTTTTTGGTAAGATCCATGAAAATAAACGAACAATTGTCAAAGCTGAGCTGTTCAAAAAAATGAATAGTAAGACTAGGTCAGGCTTGACTCTGAGTTAACTGATCCGGTTCGCTCCTGGCTCTTGGGAGAGAGATTTGGCTCTTGATCCTCTTGATCAGCTCCTGGCTTGGCTTGAGCCTAACCTATTTTCTTGGCCAAGGACAGAGTTAGGACTGGATCCAGCCCTGCCACTGGCCTAACTTGCGTTTGGTCTTGTTTTACTGACTCTGGCTTCAAAGAAGAGCAAGCTAATTGTAAGCCAACGTCAGCCCACGGTTGGTTTGACCAATCTTGGCTTAGTCTGGCTTAGTTCTCTAGCTCAATACCTAATTTTCAAAAATCCTAACAAATGACTGTGATGTGAAGCAACTTTCAGACATCCCAAGTGTCATGCATCGAAGAAGCGACTCATATCATTTCGGCAGTTGACGGCCTCTCTTCCCAAATGGTTCACACCGATCCATCGCAACTTGTTCAAACAGTTTTGTCGGATTTAGTAGATGGTAAGCTAAATAAAGAATAATCTTAAACAGATAATCTTAGGTGGTGATTCAAAAGTTTCTCGAGTATTAGAGGAATGTCATCAACAAAACAGTCTCCGCGGCGGAAGCGAGGATCCATCGCCGACTTGGAGTGCGGCCAGTGGTGAGTGAACTGGATAGCTCAAAGATTCTAGTTTCAACTACGTTACTTCTGGAGTATGGTAGCGGGCCGTAGTGCAATAATAGACCGCAAGAGTACTTCCGGAGTACAGTAGCTGAGGCTGACGAGAATTCTTCAGATCCTATTAGGTTGAGTACTATGTCTTGCGCCCTTCATTTCTATAGGTGTCCAACGGAAAAATGCCATATCTTGGCCATTTTCACTCCAATCTTTTTGTCTTTGATTTCAATCAATAGAAAATTCAATTCTGCGCCAATTGATATCAAAAACAAAAAGATTGGAGTGAAATTGGCCGAGATATGACATTTTTCCGTTGCACGCCTATTGGCGTTCACAACGAGAATTCCCAGGTCTAGTTTCTTTCATTAGAAATGTTTATCATTTACTTTTTGTCATATTTAAACAATTTTTTAGTGTTTTAAAATAATCTGCGATAATGAAAACTGGTTTTTTAAAAATATTGGAAAATGAGCACATAAAGAAAACCGCTAAAGGGTTTATTCTGAAATTTTAATTGTAGATCTAAACTTTTTGTGCGCTATCTTTTTTATTTTTTCATTAAAATAGTTTTCATTGAAAGAAACGGTCGAAATAGCATCATTGGACTTTGTCTTTTTTGAATACTCGGCTTATTACTAATGAAAAACTTTCAAAAGTCATTTACAAGAGAAATTGGGCTAGAGAAATTCACGATTGGGCTATCTAATGAAAAAGCCATATTTCATTTGTTAGCTTGAGACTTATTCAATTAGAAAATGAATTCGCGTAAAACACAGTACAGTAATATTGTAACTTCAGATTTTATTATAAAAATCTTTAGACATTGCCTCGGGATCAGCTGACAGCATTGATGGTGGATTGGGTGTATCGGTAGGTGTCCCATCAACCACAACAACTCCCTACTACTATGTGCCATCAATTTCTTCCATCGATCACGTCTCGCATCGTTCACTCAGCCGGAAATCGAGTCAACACAGTATCGTTTCAAAGGTGGGAAGCTTCTTGCCAGACTTTCAATTCCATTAAAAGTCTGGAAAGATCAGGTCTGGACGGGGAAATCAAAAGCCAGCCAAAGCGAATAGTTTGACTTACAATGCCTAGGATGCCTTGAGCGAATGACCTAAAAAATTAAGTATTGGTCAGCCTTGGGTAAAGAACTTTAAGTTTCCAGGAAATTCACACACAAAATAACAGTGGTTTTTTAGAATAACAGTCTCTTCGATGCGCCAGTGACATTTCGGCAAGTGAACGACTCGCTCAAACAACGACCACAATCATTTGCCGGTGATCTTCAGCAAGCGAATGGAATTAATCAGGTAATTGAATACTTTTTGCATTAGCTTATAAGTCAATAAACACAATCAGATCGATGACTAATCAAAAGTTATCAAAAGTTAGACTTTTACTCTACAAAGTTGGAACTTGCACCTATTTTACACGCGCGGTAGTAGCCTTGTAATAAAAATATCTGTCGGTTCCTTTTTTGGCGTTGGCAGTTTAAGGGTTTTTCGTGTTTTTCTCAGCACAAACCCTTTTATTTTAACTATTTTGACTATCATTCGATGCAGAATGAAATTGTGCATCGAATGATACCAAAACCAACTCAAAATATAATATCCATGAAAAGTTATGAGACAAAAGGTTGAGAGGGGCGGGGTTTAGGTTTTTGGCCAACAACTTTGCGTGGAAATTATATTTTGAGTTGTTTTTGGTAGCATTCGACGCGCAATTTTATTCTGCACCAAATGATAGTCAAAATAGTTCAAATCGAAGAGTTTGTGCTGAGAAAAGCACAAAAAACCTTAAATTGCCAACGGTAAAAAGGACCGACAGATGCTTTTATTACAAGTCTACTCTGTAGTACCTCAAGTACCCGCTCTAAAGCGTGCCCGACTACCGTAACCCATGCTCAATCTATAATATATCTTTACACCGTACATCTAATCTCCATTGCCTGACTTAGTTGCTGGATACCGATGCTGTCTTTATAGCTGGGTTATGGTAACATTTATTACGGACAGGATCACGGTAATCGAGGCATACTTTAGAGCGGCTACCCGAGTCAATACTCAGAAAAAGAAAAAGTCAACGAAGACAAATCTAAAGCTCCGACTATTTAGTGGCAAAATGGTACCTCCGGACCGGACACCCCGTATGCAGCCAGTAACTACGCGCCGATTTGCCACCAAAATGCTCATCAATCATTTGTAAATGCGGGTGTTTATATGAAAAGTAAGTTCTTGATGAAACTACAGCTATCGTATTCAAAAAGATTCATCGAAAGCTTTTCTCAGATGGCTCTTGTTCCTCATCAGAGGCAGCTTCGACGGCTTTTATCACGGAAACACTCCAACAAATCGATCAACTTGGACACGAGTTGGACAATTTGTGCAATCAACATGATGCACGGTTAAATGGTAAATTTTCACTTTACTCTGTATTCTTTGTATACTCTGTAAGTTTATCGAGATTGGGTCAGAGTATCTCTAGAGTATAGAGTATCATAGCTTCTCTAAAAAGTGCTGGGAACAAGTTACCGTACTCCCTAGTGCAGTTAACTATTATGGCTGAAGTAATTCACCGTAACCACAACAAAGCTCCTTTAATGAGTTTACAAAATGAGTAATGAGTTTAACGAGTTTACAAAATGGTGCACAAAGTTACCGTACTCTGACGGCTTTTTAAGCCCTGTATCATGGGAGATTTCATCCATTAAGAGTTTAAACTCATTCAAAAACCATTCGGATTCATTGAGAGTTTAAAAACATTTAAAAAGACATCCGGAAATCCGAAAAAAGACATCCGGTAGCATTTCTGGGGAATATCTTTTAAAAAACGACTAAATAAAGAGGAATCAGATTTGTTATAGGCGTCTAAAGTTTTCTCTGAAAATGTGGTCATTTGGGTCTTAGCGGCCTCCTAGTGGCCTCCTTGCGGACGCGACTCGGTCCTCACTTGAGCTCAAATATCTTGGCTTTGGGTTGTTCAATTCAAACATTCTTGATATCATTAGATGCGCCAAGTCTTTCTCGATCATTTGCTATAAAAAGTATTTAAATTGAATAACCCAACGCCGAGATATTTGAGCTTAAAGTTAGATTGCCAATGGCAAATGGAGCGGAGCTTTGGCCTTGTGGTACAGCTACAGCAAACTGCAGCTTTGACCGAGTGGTATAGTGTTCGTTTCTAGAGTGAGACCTCGCAAGCTCGATCCCCACCTTGGAATTCTATTTTACCTTTTTCAAGAATTACTGCCTAGTGTTCTTTCTGTTTGCACCGCATTTAGTTCATTCTAAGCCGAACAATTTACTTTAAAAATGCAGAAAAGGGTTTAGAAATTTACTATCGAACAAATTACTACCGAAATTTACTAAATTTACCAAAGAATTTACTTTAGAAATGGAAAAAAGGGTTTAGAAACTTTATAAAGCTGTGAGAATAAGAAATCTTGACCTTTCCTTGTAAATTCTAGGAGCGCCTCGACCACAATCAACCCAGATTCCCCGGCCAACCCATTTACCACCACCACACGCGTACAACAACTCGATTCGGATGCGACAAAGCTGTAAGTTTTGATGATATAAACTTATTTTTAGCTATTGATATTGATAACTTAAAATATCTTAAAATAACCCTTTCAGGTAACCGCTCCAGGCCACCACCACCCGAGCGTCGCGGCTCACAGTTAAGCGCAGGCACACCGGCGACTCCCTCAGTGACTCGATCAAGTGAGTTTTACCAATAATTGAGACTTTGATCTAGTGAAAGCTAGTTAATTATAGGTATAACTACAAGCATAACTGTATAATTTTCAAACTTGCACAGAAGTTAAATAAAATTAGTGCATTAAAGTCACTGAAGTGCCGAATGAAAAGTTAAATGTTGAATTTATGGCTAAAGGAAAGGTTCTAAAGTGTGGAAAGCAAGTTTGGCTTGCCTACAATAAGCTTTTGGGTTACTGTATCGAAATTTTATCTTGCTTTTGCCTTCTTACTGTAAGACTAATTGCATAAGAACCTCTTTTCTAATGCATTTTCTAAAACGTCTCCCCTTTATAATCGTTTTAGACGATTTAGAAACGAGACACTCAAAAAGTGCCTCTTTTGCCTTCTTACTGGAGTACTGTAAGATTGTATAGGATCATTAGTAACGATTGATTAGTATACTAATAATCCTATACAATCTTAAAGTAAAGGGTGTCTCAAAAGTTCTGGCACAACTTTTTGTAAAAGCAGCAAATGTCTAACTTATTTGGAAAGTGGTAAGTGTTATATAGAGATTTAAAGCCCGGAATCTTGGCTACATTTAAATACGAAAAGTTTTCGAATTGAAGTCACACAACTCATGTAACAGTCACACAACTTTCGAGTGAGCACTACTCATTCCCTTTCCACCACGTTACCATTTTTGACGATTTTCTTTATAAAAATTTTTTTAAAAAAGCTTTTTTTGTTATTTATTTCATTAAAATGTAACATTTATTATTATTTAATAATAATAAGAATAAGATTAACCGTTTTGTCATTCAAAAAATTTGGTTCATTCAAAAATTTCGCTCGAAAAATTCAAAATTTTTGTTTAAAAATAATTTTTGCATTATTCTTGTTCAAAAAATGAGTTTTAATGAATTTATAGAGCTAGAGCAGCGCATAAATCAAAATCTGAATGGAAATTGGACATTCTCGCTTGAAAAGCGCTCAATTTTCGCTTTTTTTCCTTGAACTTTAAAATCACTTAAAAACAAATTGAATTTTGGTTGGGAAAGTTTGAGAAAATATTGGGTTGTCCAGTTATGAGTGCGCGTTTTTCACTATTTTGTAAATTTCTCAAGATATCGAACAGATGTATATGAGTGTTATATATCATTCGAAAGCTGAACATCTCCTCTACACTTTGGAATAAAAAGTTTTTGAATTTATTCAACTTTTTGGGAAATTGACTGCACAAAGGGAGAAGTCGTTTTCGAAAAAACCCATTTCAGCTTAGCTATTCCTCAAGTTTTATGGTGTAAAAGAACCGAAAAGAAAAGTAAAGATGCTCTGAAATTGTTATATTTTTTAAAAAGTTGTATTGATATATCTATTGGCCAAACAGCAAACGGTTAACTCAATTTGATTGGAGCCAAAACTTGATCCAAAGGCACCCTTCCATTTTTTGGCCACCTCTTCTTCTGTGCAGTCAATTTGCCCAAAAGCTGAATAAATTCAAAAACTTTTGATATCAAAATGTAGAGGAGATCTTCAGCTTTCGAATAATACTCATATATATCTTTTTCTTGATTTGGGTATCTTGAGAAATTTACGCGATTTCGGTATCTTGAGAAATAAAAAACGCGCATTCATAACTGGACAACCCAATAGTTGTTTTTTTTTCTTATAGTTATTAAATGATGATAAATGTTACATTTTATTAAAATAAATAATAAAAAAGCTTTTTAAAAAATTTTTTATAAAGAAAATCGTCAAAAATGGTAGCGTGCTGGAAAGAGAATGAGTAGTGCTCACTCAAAAGTTGTGTGACTGTCACATGAGTTATGTGACTTCAATTCGAAAGCTTTTCGTATGTAAAGGTAGCCAAGATTCCAGGCTATAAATCTCTATATAACACTTACCACTTTCCAAATAAGTTAGACATTTGCTAGCTGCTTTAAAAAAAAGTCCAGAACTTTTGAACTGTACTGTAAGATTGTATAGGATGCTTAGTACCAATTGATTAGTATACTGTAAGATTGTATAGGATTCTTAGTAACAATTGATTAGTACGTTAGTAGTTGATCAAGATTTAAGAATTAAATTTTTTTACAACAAAATTTTCAGGTATATTGGGGAGCCAAAATTCGTTGAACTCTTCCGCGATGAGCACTTTTGATCGATCGGATTTCCCGGTGGTCACCGAAACAACCAGCTCTTTCCACTCAAAGTACACATTCTAAAAATCATTTGTATCTATTGACTGAATATCTTCTATCCATTTTCATTCTTTTATCCATTTTTCACTCGTCAATAAAGTGCCTGTCGTGAATTTTCTCAGACTGTAAAGACTTTCTCAGACTCGAACTTGTAAAGTTTCTTTTTGTGGCCATTTTTGTATATATATTTTGTGCGTACAATGAATAAAATTAACATTTCATTAAAATTGTTTGACTTTACAGATTTTGTTTACAGCTTAAGTTTACAGATTAGATTACAGCTTTACAGCTTAACTCCAAAGCGGTAAGCCGGCATTGAGCATTGAGCTTTATTCGCACTATGCATTGAGCTTTCGCATTTTCCTATCGCCAAGTTAGTTGCTATCCTTTTTAACGTTTAAAGTGATCTTTAACAGTAGAAACTACTTGGGTTACTATAACATTTACTAGGCCCCGAAATTTGATCTGATTTAGTTCGATCATCAATCGATACCAAAATTTTTGCTTGGAATTCCGTGCTTGATAATCCGCTAAACGACAATCCATTTAACAGCCAAATTGAAGAAACTACCAGCTTTCAATGACAATCATTTTGATCTGAGTCTTTGCCAAAACATTGTAGCAAACGTGAAAGCCTTCCAAGCCTTCAAGCTCACATTCAAAAACGATCATCATTCATTCAGTCGCATCTCGATGAAGTTTTCAAGCAGATCCTTTGATTCATTGAATGATGAACCCAACTCTGCTCTTTGACCGATGCTGTTGGTCAAGAATTTCTGGAGATCTTGTGCCCAGATTAAGATCGAGTTGATTCACCGTTTTCAGCTGCTCCAGAAGCGTTTTGTTCCTTAATATCAAGCCCCTCCGATCATTTCCCTCTCGTAATTGTTTTGTGATGTCATCTAAAAGAAAAGGCGAATTGTTATTGACACAATTCTTGTTGAGATGAGCACTCTGATATTTCTTTTCAATGATAAGCTCTTTTCCTTCTTTTTATTTGTCCGGGGTGCACGGGGAGATTTCCTGGAAAAAGACACCATTTCCTGGCATGGAATGGCATGGTCTTTGAGTGCTAATTTGGGAAATTGAACATTTTCAAAGGGTTACGGTAAAAATGTCAATGAAAAATCGGTTTTCTTTTCAACAACCAAAGACAAAGCATACTTACAATTGGCATCTAAAATTTCAAAACGGCAATCGAGTATCTATTGCGTTGGTGAATTGAAAACTGCCGGCTATTGTCATATGTGACAGTTTGAGCACTTTCTTCAAAAGAAACCCATTTTGGTGTCAATGGAAAAAAAAGAAAAAAAGACTGAAAAAATAAAACACGACAAAAGACTGAAAAATTCTTTGTCTCGGGGTCCTTTTATTGCATCGGCTTACGGTAGTTTCCGACGTTTGGCGCGGAAACGTCTGAAAGGCAAAGTGTACGGTGGACGGTCCGAAAGGCATCTGTCGTCAGAATTTTATTATTTCAGGAGATAATTCCTTTAAATCGATTTAAAGTAAAAGGAAATTAAACCCAATTTGTTTAATTACTTTTTTAATCATTATTTTTAATTTATTGGGTTGGTGAATTGAAAACTGCCGGCTATTGTCATATGTGACAGTTTCAGGACTTTCTTCAAAAGAAACCCATTTTGGTGTCAATGGAAAAGTTGTAGAGAATCGAAAATGAAGCTTATATCCAAATTTTCAGAACGATTCAAAAACTGGTTTTCAAGAAATGCCAAATTTACGAATTTTCACAAAACTTGCATTTTAAGCGAAACTACTAAGTGTATCTTTTTGGAAATTTGGCCATAAGCCTAATTTTTGATTCTCTACAACTTTTCCATTGACACCAAAATGGGTTTCTTTTGAAGAAAGTGCTCAAACTGGGACATCTCCAGTCCTCCATTTTTGGGTCTCACACTTGTCTGACAAAAGTGACTAGCTCTAAAATCAACAGCCTTGTTTGGGAACTTTTGGCGCATTCCCCATACAGTCCAGCTCCTTTTGATTACTATTTATTCCGGACCATGAGTAATGAGCTTGCGGGAGAACACTTCGATTCGGAAGAAGCAGTCAAAAATTGGCTTTGAAAGTTTTTCGATTCAAAACCAAAATCCTACTACGAAAGAGGAAACCGCAAATTGCCTGTAAAATGGGCAGAAGTCTTCAATAATAATGAAAATTATTTGGAATGAATTTATGGTTTTATGTTGAATAATTTTTAGTTCAAAGTCCGGCAGTTTTCAACTCACCAACCCAATAGTACAATAAACTGGGAAAACTCAAATTAACTTCTGGAATCTGAGACTTTATAGCACAAAAGTGAGACGATGAAATGAGTCTAACTTTTCTACAAGCTATTGAAAAAGATTACGATAAAAATGCTCATCAATTATTAGATTGTCAACGAAATGACTGGACTTTTTCAGTAAATAGCCTAACTTTTTCACTAACTTTTTCACTAACAAAATTTTTCCACTTTTTTCACTGATTTTACAAATGTTGAATGCACCAAATGAAGTACGGGTTTGCACCATTGGAAAGATCTATATTTCCTCTGTAAAATGGTTGTTCCTCAATCTAGAAAAGCTTTCGTTTTTCGGGTTTTTCACGAATGCAAAGACGAATAGGCAAAATTGGCGAGAATCCACGATTGGCAACTTTTTTGATGGACATAAAACGAACTTTCTATGCGAAAGAAAGATCAATCTTTGTTAGATTTTTAGTAGAATTTCCAGTAAAATCAATTCAGCCGTTTTCTAGAAAATTTCAAGTGATTCATATGATCAAAATCCTTGATTTGAGGACTTTTGTTCAAATCAAAATTTAGAAAAAACAGCTGAACGGATTTTGTTGAAAATTTTACTGAAAATATAGAAAATCTATGTCTTTATTTTGCGTAAAAAAAAGTGAAATAAATTCTTGTTGAAAGATTCGTTAAATGGGTAATTTCAGAATTTAGACATACGTTATTCAATTTCCAAGTCCAGTTATTCAATTTCCAAGTCCAGTTATTCAATTTCCAAGTCCAGTTATTCAATTTCCAAGTCCAGTTATTCAATTTCCAAGCTTTGTCAATAGCTTGACAAGAGGCTTCGAAACATAGTTGAACCTTGCTTACCGTAAACTTTCAATCCATTGGACTTTTCATCCCAACCCAGCAACTGCAAAAATGAAGTCTGGTCAACCCTGCTATATCGCTAACCTTATTAGGTTGCCAAGAAAGTCTTTGCAGAGATTTAAACTGAAATTTCTTAAAAACGAAGCCACCAATTCAAGGACACATTATTCTATCATTTACAAGTCGACTGAAGAAATTACTCGTAAAAAAATGAGTGCAGCTTTCCGTTAAAATTTTAGCTTTTTGTGGAAAGTATTCTTTTCTGCACATTTGCTCCCACATCAATCCTGCTATACGCTAGAAAAATTGTAGAAAAGTCGATTGCAAAGCGAATGAAAAGCGAAGTTGCAAAAGCAAAAGAAAAGCAAATTTAAGCGAATGAAAATGTGACGGACGGATTGCACCGAAATCCTTTCTCAATCCCTAGATCGAGTCAATTTTCTCAATCACACCTACCGTTCAATGATCAAATCGCATTTTTAAACACAGATGGCGTTGAGGTAATCGCTCTCTAGCGGGCCATCTGTTGAATGTCTTTAGGCTGATTACTGTCTTTCTTCTTCTTCTTCTTTTTGTCTTTTGTCTTTTTTCCGCTCAAATCGGGGATAAATGGGGGTTTGTCAACGAAAAGTGCACACTTGTCCCTCCAAATGGAGAAAGAAGAGAGAAGAAAGGGGTTAAAGAAAAGAAATATCAAAGGAATTCGGAGTTATAGATAATATGAAGAGAGGTTTGGGGAAACCCTAGGCATTTCCTTTTTTTGAGAGAGGGGTTGGGCTGGGTGAATGGGTTGGTCTTGTGTGGTTCAGGGTCTACTCCAGACTCCGCCCACCCACTCACCCTAGGAAGTCCAAGTCTATAGCTATTTGCATATAGCACTGTGGTCAGTGTGTGAATGGCTAGGACCCCATTCACACACTGACCCAGCACCAAGCAAATAAAATCCAATTTTTACGTATTACTTGACCTTTGGTTGGCTCTGGACAAGATTTGCTTCCTCCTTTTTTTGAGCTTTTGAATTTTTCGTTATTATATTTTTGTTATGAAGTTTGTTATTGAAATTAGCTATTGTACTAGAGATATCTTTAAGCGTTTATCAGCGAATTTTCACTCATTATCAGCGTTTATCAGCAAAAGCTAAAGATTCAGTTTTTTAAGGTTTCAAGCTGTTTGATTTCAGCTTTGATTCGGGACATTTTCAAATCTTCTTCTTTCTTTTGTTTTGTTTCTAATTGTTAGCTTCCTCCTACATAATTCTCCAGGGTTATAAAAGCTTTGATCTACTTTCTATCATTTTTTGAACACCGAATCTGCTCTACCGTAACCCGTAGCTTATACGGGATAAGAACTAGGTTACTGTACTCAAAAGGAACCGGTTAGAGTTGGCGGTGGAATCTCGATATGTGATATAGCACATCTTGTAGAGCTTGGAAAGAGGAGTCGAATGATGCAAAAATTAGCTTCTTATGAGCATTGTAAAGACGCTAGAACTTGCTTCGAAGTTTTTGCTATGAGCATTGTATGTTTATGTTTATGTTTATATTCAAAAATTTGGTTACAAGAAGCCGCGTCCTAGAGGCTTTCAAGTTTTGGAGATTAGAAGCCCTATAGAATTGCTAATTTTGAGTTTCTGAGTAAAGTGTTGAAAATAAGCAGTAAATTCTATTAACACATTCGCAACGACGGTATTTTGAGCGTACAGTCGCGTAGTCGTCAACTGTTTTACTGATAATTTGGTGAAGATTCAAGGATGAACTAAGCTATTATAGTCATTTGAAAGCCCTGAATCTCCTCTTAAAAGCTAGTACAAAGTTATCGAGAACTTTCTACAAAATAAATAACAAAAGTCTTTAAAAACTTGAGCTGACACCAAAAATATTTGCCAAACAAAAGAAAAAGAGAAAGAGTTAGAAAGGCTAGAGTTAGAAAAAGTGGCCGTAATTCTTGAAAACCCTGTCGTTTTATGCATTTCTTCACTTTTGGTCTTTGTATTCAAATCATCATTCAAATTCAAATCCTCTTTCTTCTTTTTGCCAGCTCTCAAAGGTTTGAATGCAGATCCAATCGTTTCCCCGTTCTTTGCCAAATCTCGGGGTCAATCTCGGGCATCCATCCAACTCATCTAATCAAGATCTTTTGGCTTCCTGTCAAAAAATAAAGAAATTCCATCTTTATCGGAGATCTTTATCATTCAAAACTTACTACCATTGCCCATTTGCAAGCAATTATCGCTGAAAAACTTTAAACGATATCATAACGATCTTTTTCATTTGTTCTAAACGTTCTCCCAAACTTATTCCCGAAACTTTTGCTTTTCACAACATAATTGTTCCCATTTAAGCACAATGGTGACTTTGAATTCATAGAAATTCATAGAAATTCATAATTTCGGTGAATTCCGAAAGAATCCACCTAAATCTAAACAAATTTTTCTCAACGTTTTCATTTTTTTCAATTTCCAAAAACCAATCCCTCTCAATTGTTATCTTTTTGAAAAGTCAGGAAAATATTGTTTTTGAAAAATTCCCCAAAACAATCCCATTTTTTTTCCATTATCATTCCTGAAACTCAGCCAAATATGTAAATATTATTTACATCGAGAAACAGATAATTTTTTGAGCAGTGAAAAGAAATCATTTTGATAAGCGAATGTCAAGGAATTTCTAGGGAAAAGCCGAGAAATTGGGCTCCTTTTTGAGCGTTTGACAAATGAACGAACTTCTTTATTTTTGCAAAAGCTATTAGCTTTTTCCTACTACTTTTTCCCACTGCTAGCTATTGAAAAATGCTTTTCCCCTAGAAATTCTTCTGTATTTATCTAATTTTGATATTTTCATTCATGCTAAACTTGCAAATATTTCTTTCAGCAATGGGCATTGGCTCGTTTGAGTGTCTCCCCGTCGAGATTTTGACAAAAATCTGTGACCACTGCGATTTGGAGGATGTGCTCGCTTTACAGGTTGGTTTATTGAAAAAAAAACTATGATACAATGATACAATGAAACTGAATATTGTATGTTGGACGAAATTTATCGATGACAGCAGTTGTACACGTCCTTTTATGGATTGGGGTTGAGAATACAAAACATGGTCGGCGTCGGGACTCGAACCCGCCACTTCTCCCGCCAAACACTCTACCAATGAGCTAAACGTCGGTGTAGCTCATTGGTAGAGTGTTCGTAAGCCATTGTCGTCAATGGGCCTTATGCCTTGCTCAGCTTAAAGTTAAGCTTTACTTGATAACTAACAAGGGAATGTCGACTGGGTGTGCTGGAATGACATGAGCCATAGAACATCGGTTTTAGTGGCCCAAGCACGAAACCAAGGTGGTCAAATGACATCACCCATAGATCATTCGACGCAGAATTTCACCCTGAATCCGAATCTGCTTTCCGTTCCTGCTAAGGAGTACTCGATTAAAAGTTATAAACGTGCAAAGTTTTGTATGGGATTTCAAAAAACATCCCGAGGAAGCACCCGGAGTTTATAAGCAGATTTCCCAGAGGCTCTGACCGAGTACTCCTTAGCAGAAATGGAAATCAGATTCGGATTCAGCGTGAAATTCTGCGTCGAATGGTCTATGGCTGATGCCATTTGACCACCACACCCAGTTGACATTCCCTTGTCAGCTTACAGTTAAGCTTTACTTGACAACTAAGTCACAAATCTAGTTTTAACTTACAACAATGAGCGCATTGTTTCAGTCAACCCACATCGAGCTGGAAATGCGCATTCGGAAGAATTTCTTCAGCCGTTTTGAGATGGCTAAAGTGACGTGGATGGAAAATGGTGAGAACAAGTTTGAAATTGATAAAGAAAACTAGAAAACTAGTTAAAGTTAAGCGCTATGGTTTGATGATATCAATGGGATCGATAGTATTCTTTAAAATATATCCAAATTTCCATACCACAACTAATTAGTGAAAATGCTTTCAGAAAAAAGGAGAGAGAGAGTTGGAAAAGAGAGTGAGGAGTAAACTCTTACAGCATCGATTATCGCGATGAAAGGAAATGATTTGAATGAACAAGAGATCACAACGAATCGGACACAATGGGAACAAGTGATCAGGCAAACGAAAAGGTTCGTGACCTGAGCTCTTGATGTTCTTTGTGCTTGAATCTTGAAGCGCATCGTTTCTGGTGCACGCTTCCAGTTTTTCGCTTTCCTCATGCTTCCAGCTCATTGCTAGCAAAAAAATGAAGAATTCAGTACACTGGAAAGAGTGTGTTTATAGGTTTAAGCACAAAGTACACTAAACTTTTACTATCTAAGATCAAAAATATAAAATTCCTTTCAGAATTCACTCACTTCACCTTGAGAAAACCGATGCTGCCTACAAAAAAGCGGTCATTGTCGCGATTGCACATAGTAAGTCAAAGAATTTTGACTAAATTTGCATCAAATTTAAGCTCATTAAGCTTTACATCAAATCCTTTTTCAGATTGGAAACTTTCCAATTTGGAGATTGTTCTCAAACCGTCGAGCAAAGAGATTTCACCAGCGTACACGTGCAAGAACTACACGGTGAGAGCTCATATTAGACTTTCCAGAAAGTCTTTTTGTTCCTTTTCGTACTTCCGTTGAAAAAATAACACTTTACCAATTAATCTATGGTTTACTCTAACTAAAAAGTGTTTATCGTTCAATTTCTCATCTTTTTAAGTCAATTTCGGCTCACTCTTCAAGCAAATTCGAGAGTGAAACGCGTCTTGATCGCAAAAATCTATAAAAACCTCTACAAAGAAATTGGCTGAATGAATTTCTCTGAAAATCTACTATATTAGGTTGATGCATAAGTCTTTTCGTTCCTTTTCGTCTGCCGTTTCAAGCCAACAAATGCACCAATTAAACTACGGTTGATTTCATTAGAAAAACCAATTATTTTTCTGCAAAATAACATTAAAACGGGTTTAAAAATATTTTATGCCTGGATTTTCTTGAGAGTATGAAGTCGGGTAGTCAAAAAGGGCTAACTCGATGATGCGGTTTAGACACCTTAGCTAAAGAAAACCTATCTTCGTGTCAATAGATAAAAGATAGAGAAAAAAAAGTTTGATATTTCACCAAAATTTCAGAGAAATTCATTCAGCCAATTTTTCCGTAGAGTTTTTTATAGATTTTTACGAAAAAGGCGTTTTTCACTCTCGAATTTGCTTGAAAGTCAACCGAAATTGATTTAAAAAGATGGAAATTGAACAAAAAAACACTTTTTTTATAGAGCAAACTATAGATTAATTGGTGAATTTGATACTTTTTAACAGAAGTACGAAAAAAATGAAAAAGACTTTTGCATCAACCTAATATATAAAAGAGGAGTGTCCGTCCGTCCGTCGCGCTTTGGATCTCGGCTCCACGTAAACCGATTTCAACAAACTTTTTTTCAGATCGATAGGGAATTAAAAATGAATAGGTACATACTTTATGGTCAAAACTAGTTTTTCATCAAAATCAAAAATCCTTTAAAAAATCAGAAAAACCACTTAGAAATGCTCTTTTTTGCCTTCTGCTGCCCATGGGGAGCGTGGTCGAAGGAGCATGGCTAATTTCCAATACGTTCCAATACGGTTCCAATACGGTTCTAATACGGCTCCTATTTTGATCCAATACGGTCCCAATACGGCTCCTATTTTGATCCAATACGGTTCTAATACGGTTCCTATTTTGATCCAATAGGGTTCCAATACGCCTCCAATATGGTCCCAATAAGGTTCCTATTCTGATCCAATACGGTTCCAATAAGGTCTCTATTCTGATCCAATACGGTTCCAATAAGGTTCCAATAACCATATTGGTTCCAATACGGTTAGCGTCCCGTCTACAAACGTGTCCGCCCCAAGGAGGTGTCGGGTTCGATTCCCGTCCGTTCCAAACTTTTTTGCTTTAAATGTTTTCATGCCGAGCATCCCAGTATATTATTGCGGTGGTGCTTTGGAGGGTATCAGTGTTGCTTTCGATATTGCTTTGATAGATTAAGAGATAGATCACAGTATTGTAGGGGCACAAGAGGGCGGCTGAGTTCGAAGTTCAGTTTGAACCTTTAACTTCTGAGATCAAACTATGCGTTAACCCCAAAACACCCAACTCTTGACTGGTTTGGCTATATACCTAACTTTTTGTGCTCTATCTTTTATCTATTGACATCAAGATAGATTTCCTTAGCTAAAGCGCCTGAATCGCATCATCGAGCCGTCACTCTATTTGACTACCCGACTTTGACTACCGAAAAAATCCAGAAATAAGACATTTTTAGAACCGTTTTAATGTTATTTTGCAGAAAAATAATTGGCCTTTCTAATGAAACAAACCGTAGTGGTGCAATTGGTTCAATTGTACGCTGGTGAAATCTCTTTGCTCGGTTTGAGAACAATCTCCAAATTGGAAAGTTTTCAATCTGAAAAAGGATTTGATGTAAAGCTTAATTTTTGATGCTAATTTAGTCAAAATTCTTTGACTTACAATTGGTGCAATTGGTTCAATTGGTTATATTTACTATTCAGTTACACACATAAATTTTGTCAGTTTGTCCTTGCCTTCCAGTTGAGTTTATCTAAAACAGAAAACCTGTTAGTTTTGTCAATGGTGCAAGTCAAATAGATAAAATTTTCCGCTTTGAGCATGTGCCGCCATAGCTCAGTCGGTTAGAGCGTGGGTCTAATAAGCCCAAGGTCGCAGGTTCGACCCCTGCTGGCGGCAAACCTTTTGTTTTTGCTTGGCAAAAGCAGCATCAACTTTGCTTTTCGGGGTTTTAGTTTTATTCTCTTGCAATTTCAATTGATTTATTCACCAATTGAACCAATTGAACCAATTTGTCGGTTTTTAGACGGAATTAAGAAAAGGAATGAAAAGACTTTCTGGACAGCCTAATACAAAATATTGTATACGAAAATTTGACTTTTAACCTTTTTGCATAGATCCATTCAATATCTTTCAATATTTAGTCTGAAAATAAAAAGATTGAGTTAAGAAGCCTGAACATCATTAAACATGGCCATTTCAGCGTCTCACCCGTTTCGTTGAGTCTCAAAAAGCTTCTTTGAAACGATTGACTCTTCGTTCATCACCCGTTTCTCGAATCGAGTTAAGGCGAACAAATGATGGAGCACATATCGAATATGGACAAGAGAGGAATATCTTCCTCCACCATCAGCTCATCAATCCACTCTTTCGGGCAATGCTGGCTGGTGAGCTTAGCATCTTGATCATGTAGCATGTACAAGATCTTGATCATGTAACAAACTAGTAGCTTCACTAATATAATCGGCTAAAACCTGTAAACACACCATTTCTGGCGCACTAGTAGTCTTTAGTCCAAATAAAATAAACAGACATAATTCCCAGGTGGTTCTCCCGTCTCATCCCTTGATCTCAGTGTTGATGGTTGTGAGCAATTGGAGTATTCTCTTCAAAATGCTTTCCAAGCCGCTCTACCTTATGATCAACGGAGTGCCCTTCGATCGTTGCGGATTCATTTTGGACCCGAGGTTTGTAAACAGGAATAAACCCATTAAAAACAAATTTTAATGGATAAAATCTTACAAAGGAACCACCGTAGTTACGTTACTTGGGACTTTATACTTTATTTCAGTAATAAAGCGTAACAAAAAGATCTACAATACACAAAAATTGAAATTAAATGGATAAGCTCTTACGCAAAATCTTATCCATTTAATTTAAAATGAATCACCGTAGTTACGTTTGATCTTTTCAAATGAGATCTCGGGATATACAGTTTTTAATCCTAATTCCAAATCCGTCAATGTCAATCCACAATCGTATCGTACTATTCACCCCAATTCAAGCCTTCAGGTCTCCTCCCTTTCACACGCGGAAATGGATCGAGTGTTGACAACGTATGCTCCAACTCTTCATGTCACTCCGAATCTCACCCATATCCTTTGTGATCTCACCCATTGCTCGGTGAGTGTTACCTATTCTGTAAAGTATATATAATATAAAAGTTACCTACTCTGTAAAGTATAATATAATTTCTTTTAATACTTTAAAGATGCCTTTAAAGATTTAATGACTTTAAAGACTTTAAAGATAATTTTATTCTTAAAATGTCATGAGTTTTTTCAGGTTGAACCTGAAAGTCTGGAGGGTATCTTCAAGGCGATTTCCCGTGAACTCCGCGGTTCTCATCGAATTTCCCTCGTCACTCCAAATTTCGATCCGACTATTCAAAAGCAAATGTTAGAGAAACGCGAGAATGAGATTGAAGAGAAAAAAGCAAGAGAAAGAAGGCAAAAAGTCTCCTTCGATTGCCCACTTTCCCCGCTCTCTCGGCCATTGTCGATCTCGGTACGGTAGAAGTGAAATATGGCCTGTGCTTTCTGTTCTAGCAAACGCGTCGACTCTAGTGTTTGCGTTTGCTAGAGCTCAAAGTACAATTGTTTCCAATGTAAAGTTTAACCCAATCTTACTGTACTTATCCAGACAAATCCAAGATCAAAAGTCTAAAGATTTTCAAAAACAATTTACGAATTCTTTCTTTTCAAAAGCTTTACTCTAAAATTTTCAAATTATCAAAGTTTCAAATATTCAAATTTTCAATTTTTTAACCTTTTTTCATTAGCGGGTAGCATTTTTCATAATATTTTTCTCTTTCTTATAAAAAAACGATCACTTTTCAATTGAATTCTTTTGAAACTAAAGGTATTCAGCTTATTTTTTGCTCTTTGAATTCATTTTTTTGGAAATAAATCTTTTTTGTGCAAAACAAATCACAAAACCACAAAATTTTAGGGATTTTCGTGATCTTGTGACGTTTTTCGATTGATAACAAAAGAGATTAGAGGAAAAAAAATGAGCTTTTTGTTGAGCTGTGATCAAGGGATTTTCAAAAGGCGATTTCACAAAGAACTACTAAAGTTTGAAAGATGTTAAATGAACATTTCGAAAGAGTTTTTTGAACTTTAATTATAAAACTAATTGTTACATTGGTTCTAGACATGGGCTTTTTGTCAAAAACGAACCAGTTTCAGGTTTTAGCAAACAGTTCTTGTTTTCTAAAGCGTGGATACAATGCGTTGGATACTATTTCGAGCTTTTGAAAACAAGAGCTGTTTGCTAAAACGTGGGACTGACTCATTTTCTACAAAAGGCGCATGAGTTGGAACTGGGGCAGATCAAAAACTTGTGCGCGCCCGGGACCTTTCCTTACCGGGCAACTGTGTTAAGCATTAAACCACAGTGCACTTGATCTTCTTTACTCCAGAGGGAGTTAACTTCCCTCCTCTCTGAACGAGATGGTTTCACACGTCGTCTCGATTTATAGGCCTGGGGTGCGCTCGAAACTAGGTATGAAGCTCTGCAATGCTGGCTAAGGTAGCCAGCATTGCAGAGTTCATCCTTCCGTGGTCGCCAGTTGAAACTAGGGCAGACCAAAAATGTGTGTGCCGCCGGGACTAGTGGCCTTTCACTTACCGGGCAACTGTGCTAACCATTACACCACAACACCCTTGATCTCCCTTACTCCAGAGGGAGTTAACTCAATAGTTCTCTGATTGGTCGAGAATCGACGTTCTCGGATTTCAAAGAAACGAAATTAGATCCCGGATCAGGGCATTTTGCCTTTGAACTAGACTTGCGTGATCACAGATTTTTTTAGATTACAATTTATTACAGAAATTCTTGTCTTGTCAATTTCTCTCCTTTCTCTTCTTTAGAAGGGCCAGCAATCACCGGGACATCCCTGGATTATCGTCTCGAAGCGACCGGTGGCAACCTGGAAAGCATTTAAATAAACTGGATAAGAATTTAAGCCTAATTCTGTTATGAGTTAAATGTACAGGCTGGCCCAGTATTATGGCGACAATTTTTTAGGAGCACTGTTTTCCCAAACAAACTTTCCATCACAAGTACCACGTATTATATATTGAGTTGGGGAGAATGAAATGGTGCCGAAATTCAAAGAAATTTCTAAAAATTTTAGCAGAATTTGTCTTGATATTTGATATCAGTAGAAAGGTTAACTAATTCTCTAAAAAATGGCGTTTAAAAATCAAACTCAAACAGCACCTTAGCTTAACAAAAAGGCCGTTTTTTCACAAAATCTATAAACTATCATCTAGAGAAAACGGTTGGAGGGATCTTTCTGAAAATTTGTCAACTTATGTAATCGAATGTGCTCTATCTTTTTTATGTAGACACCAAAGGTGGTTTATGTGGAAGAAACTGTTCAAACGATGAGTCGAACTCTTTGCCTTTTTGGTTCGCTGTGTTTGAGAGTTCATAAACTTGACGAAAGAAAAGCTTTGTGGAAACTCTCAAAAGTCATTTTTTAGAGAAATTGTGGAGCCTTTTGATGAAACAAAACGTTTATTTAAAGAAGGCTTTATGCCTGCAAAAAGTTTCTTTAAAATTCGGCATTATTTCATTGTCCTCAACCAAATAGTATTCGAACCGGAAAATCTCAGCTATTAGGTACTACGAAAAATAAATGCGTTTTCCGACTGGTTAACTTTGGCATAGTTTTTAAAAGCCTAAATTTGATGAGTCTTGTAAATATTATCTTTAGTTTCATGCTAGGTTATTCTTGTTTCAGTTTCCTTAAAGATCTTGTGTTTCTAATGAACTATGATGTTTAGAGCTCGACTTCTAAAAAATATGGACAAAAAGCTAATTCGGACGATTCTTTTGTATGGATTTAAACTCAGGCTTTCAGCAACAAATGCAACCGAAAACATCAATCGTTGAAGCGTTTTGTTGAAGTTGATCCTCGGGCCACGGAGTTAGAGCTTGCGGAAAACTTCGGTGTTCGAGTTATGACAGTTAGCGGTGTTGGACAAAATCGGGAATTTATCAACAAATGCAGCCAATCGTGCATTTGGTCATCAATCGTGCATTTGGACAAGGCACTGTATCAGCTCACAATGCCTAAGTTTGACTCAAGCGTTTGCGTTTCCACGAAGGAGCTGAGGATTTCGAAGATAAGGAGCGCCAAGGCCGCCACCGACTACTTGACAATGAGGATTAAAGCGTTTTGTCGAAGCTGATCTTTGGATCACGGAGCTGGAGCTTGCGAAACATTTTGGTGTTGAATTTATGACAGTTAGCTATCATTTGAAAGAGATTTGCAAAGTACAGAAGCTCGAGAAATGGATTCCACATCTATTGAATGATCGACAAAAATTTGCTCGACTTCTCGCTTCATCTTCTCTGCAGTTTCGAGACGAGAAAGAGCCTTTTTGGATCGGTTGATAACATGCGATCAAAAATGGATCCTTTACGACAATCGGAAGCGAAATTCGAAATGGTTGGATAAGGGCGAAACTCCGACTTCTTCTCCAAAACCGGATCTCCACCCAAAGAAGGTCATGTTGTCGATTTAGTGGTACAAGGAAGGAGTGATACACTATTCGTAGCCGAAAATGTTTTAAACCTTTTCGGCTACGACGTATATAATACGTTGTATTTGTAATGAAAAGTTTTTTTGAAAAAAACAGTTCTCCTAAAAGTTGTTGCTATAATTCTGGACCATCCCGTAAGTCAGCTGCTAAATCTAATAGAATTCTCAGATATGACATTGTCAACTTAATCTAAACCAATCTGAACTGTTCAATCACAAATCTCAGACTCACATGCATCAACACGGTGTAGGTGGTCAACTTGTTAAGGTTGGTCTTCGAGGAGAGCACGTTGTAGATACCCTGAAAAGTTGGGAATTGAGAGTAAACCTTTAGATATCTATCTAGATATGTAATATTTCTGTAATATTATGCAATATTTCCCACAATTTCTTCACTCACCTCAAATCCGACTGCTTTCTGGGTCAAATTGCGCATGCAGGCGTCTCCCGGGGTTTGACGATCGTCCAAGTAGAGTGGCTGAAGAAATATATTATTAGATAAATGTACTAAGTAAATATAAGTTTAGATATGCCGTGTTCTTAGTAGAACAATAAACGATAACAATAATAATAGTAGAACAATCTTATAACCTAACTTCATTAGCATGCGGAAAACAGGCCAGGCAAGGCCAGAGCCGGGCCGGAAGCCAGAGCCGATTTTCAAACATTTTTCTAAGCGCTGGTTAATGCTAAAAAATATGTGTTATAGCTCAAAAAATCACGCATCCTCTCTACTTTAATTTGATACCTAAGCGCGCAGAAACCAGCGTACCGGTGTCGAGATATGAGCGGTGGTTTGAGAATAAACTTAGACGACTCGACGCTCCTATAGCCGTTTTTTTGCGTTTTCACGGTAAGAGCATTACGGTATCTTGCTAGACAGACTAACATCAGTGTCCGGATCGTAGTTGGTTTGCAAGAGGTACCATCCATTTGCATCGTGCGGGTCCAACTCGTTGAGCTGATCGGTCTTGTCAAGCGACCTGGAGATAAGTATTGTAAATTCGGATTCAAAATCGATTAAGAATTTCTATGTTAAGGATTTCTATGTTAAGGATTAAAGATTCTACCAATAGGAACTTTGATCCAAGCCTAGATCAGGCTGTGCCTTGACTAGCCTTTTCTGATTTACAGATCCTAGGCTCTGGAAAATCCCTGCCTAGTGAAATTTGCCACACAATTACTCAACCTAGTGATGATCGCTCCTTCCCATGGATTCACTCCACCAAGGATGTAATAGACAGGTGAAAGCATTGGGATGTCCATCAAACGATCCTTCGCCTCTTGGTAAGCTGAAACAGCGCTCAGATTGGAAGTACTTACATATGCAAATAAGCAAAACTCCAGGTAGATTCATATCCTATTAATCTTTTTACAGTAGTTCATTCCCCAATCACTCCTCATAACCCACTGTTTGACACAATCATTGTCTCTCTGGCCAACATGGTCATCCATTTGCCGTTCGGGTCCTCATCAAGGAGCCAGCGGAGAATTCCGACCAAACCTGCAACGATATAGATTGTACAGGACGTTCAATAGCGCTAAACGCGCTAAACTGTTCAATAGCGCTTTTGAGAGCGCTAAACGACCAGCGAGCTCAAAAGTCCCCATAAATATTGAACACCCTGTAGATCATATAGAAGCCTCTCACAAACCTCCCTCGGCCATGAAACGCTCGTTGGCGGTGAGCGAGAAAGCGCCCGGCTTCAACGCGTTGTAGATACCGATGTAACCGGCGAAGTGGTTTGACTTGAAGACGACTTTTCCTAAATTTTGGGTATTGCTTACATAAAAGCAACTCAATGTTATAGAGTCTATGCAAAAATGAATCTAGCATGAATTGTTATACTGCTAACACCAAAAATCCCCCACCCTGGCTCATCCAGTTCACGTTGAGGATCATTTTTCGGAGATGCTGAGAGATTTCCCACTCGTGCGCGTTGGGATTCCAGCCGAGGAAAAGTCCGAAGTCGAGGTTTCTGAAAAGAAATGACTCAAACTTGGATTTGGATAAGTTAATCTAATTGATTTGATCGATCGAATTGATTTGGTCGATCGAATCTACATTTGATTAATCATAGACTCAAACCTAGCATGGTACATGCTTCCCGATGGATCTTGTCCGACGATCGATGTGCAAACGGTGAAAATCTCATAGAAGATGTTGTAGAGAACGATTCGACCGATTGGAACGTCAGCCGCTTCGGAGATTGACTAAACGGGGGCAATGTGGAGAGGTAAGTTAGGCACGGTACATCCTAGCAGAGTTGGTTTACCAGGCTAGACCGAGATTAGGTCAAACTAGGATTCGGGTTCACCAAACTATTTACGATTTACCATCTATTCAAAATTCAACAAACATTAGCACACAAACAACAAACATTGTTTTAATGACCCAAACAAACAAAACTTAGTTTTAGAGTAGTACAAACCAAAAAAAAAAAGAGGAAAAGGAATACATTTTCCTTTTTTAGAGCTCTGAAAGCGGTGATCTAAGGGTCGAGGGTTCGACTCCGGCGCGCGGCAGGTTTTTTGAAGAAACTTTGCTAAAAGAACTAGTTTTGCGTTTTCTAGGTTAATTTTCAACGCTGCTTCCGAAAAACATGGTTTTAGCCTAGGTTTCCGTACAAAAAAACGAAAAAAATTCATTTTTTTTTGAAATTTCGAGTCTGACGCCTCTCAGGAAACCGACTGCAAAAGCTTTGAAAATTGATGTATTAAAAACGGTTTTTTCTATGCAATCCGCTAGAAAATTAGCTTTTAAATGAGCTATTACACGTCCAGTTTGGACAAGTTTAAGACCCTCTCCCGAAAAATCGGCAAAGATTTTCCCCCAACCTAATAGCAACTTTGCTAGGGGCCCAAAAATTTTATATACTCATTTTGCTTTTTGTATGCTAATTTTTGTTTCCGATTATTTTCCAAATCACAAAATTGCTTGTTTTCTTTTAGAGAACAACATTTATGAATTAAAATTAACATTATCAACAACAATACAACAAGACAACTTAAGTTAGAGGATAACGATCAGCAACGATTTCTCAGAACTCATAAGTCAAGCTTTGAGTATTATGTCTTGTTGTATTGTTGTTGAGAATGTTAATTTTAATTCATAAATGTTGTTATCTAAAAGAAAACAACTATTTTGTGATGTGAAACATAACTGGGAACAAAAATTAACATATAAAAATAAACAAAATTTGGTGGGTCGAAAAATTTTGTTAAATTGTTAAGCAGTTGATGAACTTGGGCCTAGATCTTGTCCCAGAATCCTTCTGCCTTTGTCTGATCTGATCTTCTTTGACTGGACAAGGTAGCCAATGATTGACTTTAAAAAACCCACAATCAACTCGGCTCTGTATGGATTGGGGAACTTCTCGATCGTTTCAGCGAAAGTTCCATCGACGAATTCGAGCGCGTTCGGGAAGAGTGGGGTGATGAAGTCTGAAAGTATTTTTGAAATAGAAAACTTTAGATCAAGTTTTACGTTACAAGTACTAAACTAATCTATGAGAAGGTTATAAGCGAAAACCCTGTAAGTAAAGAAGTTTATTAACACTCAGACTTCTCAAAAAAAAAACTACGGTTCAAGGTTTACGGTAGCCGAGTCACGCCACTTTAAAGTGCCTACCTGAATAGTTCAGGTAAAAGTTTGCACTTCATATATCGGATACAGCACTTGTTCTAGTTATTGTACTCAAGTTTCACCCACCAACGAGTGTGGTAATCAACTCGTTGATCTCCTCTTTGTATCTCGTTGCCACTTCAACCCATCTTGTCGATGGATCGGCGTCCATGTCAATGGTGAACCTAAAAATTTTGGTGAACAATGGTGAACCTAAAAATTAAAGCTTAACCTTTAGGAATTTGTATCATTCTTTAAAAATTTTAGATGGTTTTTGATTAGAGTAAAGTTTTCTCTAGCTTGTAACTGATCAACTGATTGTAATTTTGAATACTGTGATGCAAAGAAGGTCAATGTGTTGCTCAAGTGTTGTTGCTTCAACCTGCTGATGTTTCTTGGAATGCGCTGCTCAATTGAAATCATTGCTTTGTTGGAAAGAAAAGAGAAACAAATGCTTCAAGCTGTTGATGTTTCTTGGAATGCACCATTTGGATACTGTGATCCAAAGAAGGTCAATGTGTTGTTGTTGTTGTTGTCACCAGCAGAAAAACCCGCCTAATGGCTGACGGGCATACTTTTTCTTGCCGTGGCGCAGCCATGAGCGCGCTTGTCTACGGCCCACACGATCCGGGTTCGACCCCCCGTAGTGCCACTCAATTTTGCCTTTTTTATTTTAAATGGCACAACTCTATTATATTATAAGACTTTTAAAAATTTCAATTTTTTTGGCCCAAAGACGGAAAAAAGCCCGTACAAACGGACAGACAGACACTGCTCTTTTATATAGATGGTTGTCGCTGGTCTAATCGGTGTTTTTATTTCAAGCTACTCACCAAGGCACATTGAATTGATCTCCCGGATCGTAGCGATTCGTGTGATTGTTGAGGATGCAGAAATCGTTGTACGGAGCGGGCAAATCCACGTGTTTCGCCCAGACACCGATCGCCACCAGCGAGGCGCACAACAAGAGGAGCCTCATCCTGCACAAACATTGTCAATGAATGGATCTTCTCATGATCAAAACATATCAATGAATCAACGGAGAAGTTGTAAAAGATGGAATCAATCGAATAACGGTTATAAGGGTAAAAAGGTTTATACGGTTTCCGGAAGTAAAATCTTTATCCTTTCAAATAGGTGTCTTCTAAATCGTGTCCCCTTTCTATCGTAATCTCGTCTCTTTTTTTTATCCAATCTATCCACGTTTTATATCTTTCGATATCCTATTCTGAATTCTCACAGAATTAGAAAAAAAAGTGGCTAAACCGTATTCTTACTTTGTCAATCTTACTGTAACTTTGTTTAGCTTCAAAAAAACAATATAAAGCATAAAATGGGTAAGCAAGAAGTCACAATCAAGAAAAGAATTGAGAAAAAAGACAAAATCGCAAAATCCGGGAGAAAAGTGACGGAACACCAGGTGGGGATCGGGCATTGTGAAGAATGGGTGATAAGGGGAGGACCTCACTGATCCCCTTCCCCCAATTCTTCCCAATTTTCCAATTCCTCCTACCAGATGCGCATTTCACACGACCTCCCCCTTCCGAAACAATGTGTCTTCTTCAAAAAATTTTCAACTTTTCATATCTATTTTTTCTTGAATAGATCATAGTCTCTACTCTAAACTATAAAAAGCTTCGGTACGTTTTGGGGATACAAAAAAAAAGTTTTGCAAAATTTGAGCCGGATCGGGAAATGGAGTCAATTTTCAGAGTCGGTCAAAAAAACAAGAAAAAAAAATGGCTTTGGTATTTGCAAACCAGACTTGCAAACCATTTCCGAACTCTGACTCGGGCGCTTTAAAGTGCGACTCTGCTACCGTAACCCGTTTCCTTGATTTTACGGTAAATAGTTGGTGCCTAATAAATGCTACATTTTAGAATATCAGTACATTCATTACGTATACTTATATTGAAAGCTTGTTTTAGAAGTGACAAAGGATCGTACCAGGGTATGAAACGGACTGAAAGCACCTCTTGGGATTGTAAATTTGCACAGTCCAGCTAAACTAGGATCTTCACGGCAAAAATAATCTCTATAGAATATGTTTGATCGTCATAGATCTACAATACCGAGCAAAAGTCTTGTAATATCACTTTTTCAAAAAAATCGATGAAATTTTTTATAGAAAATGCCACTCGTAGGGCTTTTTTGTTTTAATTAGAATAATACATGTACACTTTATTTACAAAAACAAATTTGAAGTTCAGCGTAAAACAAAAGAGTAAATGACAAAACTACTAAAAAATGTCCTAAAAACTGGGCGCAAAAGTCTTGCAACATTTTATGTTTCTCATTTTTATTGTTTTCAAATTTATTAATTTACACTAATTTTTGTTTTTTTCAGATGCCAGGTACCTACGTGACGACTCCCGAAAAGAAAAAACCATGAAAGAAAGAAAAAAAGGAATTTCTCGAGCCGTTGTCTCCGATCTCTTCAAATGCGATCCTTCGACCGTTTCTCGCATTATTTCAAAAGCAAAAATAACTAAACTTATGCACCGAAAAAAGAAGAAAGGACGGCCAAGAAGAACAACAGCAAAAGAGGATCGAATACTCGTGATGGCTTCCAAGAAGGATCCGAACATGAAATCAACTGAGGGAGCTCGGCTGATCAAGGATGTTGCAAACAAGGATATCCCTCGATGGACCGTTTCTCGACGATTGACTCAAGCAGGACTGTATAGCTGGAGGGTTGTAAGAAAGCCTTTGATGACCACCGGCCACAGGAAACAACGGCTTCTATTCGCCAGGACGTATCAAAGTTGGCCAAAGCAGGATTGGGCCAACGTGATTTTTGTCGATGAAACAAAGGTGGATATCTTTTCTCCAAAAGGCAACCATTTGATCAGACGACCCATTGAAAAGCAAATACTCCTTAAATATGTGCGACCTACAATGCGAGCTGGCGGAAGATCAATCATGTGTTTTGGTTAGCCTCATTTCTAATACATGCATTAATTTGTCTTTTTCTAGGGGCGATGGCAAAAAATGTGGCAGGTCCGCTCGTCCTCGTCCAGTCAACCATGAATGCTCGCCAGTATATGGAAATACTAGAAGGATTTCTACTTCCATTTCCTCAGGATCACATCCTGGATGGTTTCTCTACCAGGACAATTCGCCGGTTCACATGAGCAAGCTCATGATGGGTCGCATGGTGAATCTCTCAAATGGAGGAAAAGCTCATCTCCCTGGATGGTTTGCCCTTCATAATGTTTTGTTGGTCTATGTTGCCTGATTTAAACGTTATTGAGAATTTATGGACTTACGTAAAGACGAAGTTACGAGGAAAAGTCTTTCACAAAAAGTTGACTTACGGTTCTACATACGAAAAGTTTGGAGCTCAATTCGACCAACAATTCTTCATGAATTAGTCGACTCAATGCCTAAACGACTTAATGAAATGATTTTGGCAAAAGGTGGACTGATTGAATATTAATTTTTAATGTTTCTGTATAATTTTGCTAGACTTTTGCAGTTTTTAGTCCAGTTTTTAGGGTATTTTTTAGTAGTTTTGTCATTTACTTTTTTTTTTCGCTGGACTTCAAATTTGTTTTTGTAAATAAAGTGTACATGTATTATTCTAATTAAAAACAAAAAAAGCCCTACGAACAGGTGGCATTTTCTATAAAAAAATTTCATACATTTTTTTGAAAAAGTAATGTTGCAAGACTTTGCTCGATACTGTAGATCTGTGACGATCAAACATATTCTATAGAGATTACCGGGTTACGGTATTATTTTTGCCGTGAAGATTCTAGTTTAGCTGGACTGTGCAAATTTACAATCCCAAGAGGTGCTTTCAGTCCGTTTCATACCCTGGTACGATCCTTTGTCACTTCTAAAACAAGCTTTCAATATAAGTATACGTAATGAATGTACTGATATTCTAAAATGTAGCATTTATTATCCCAAAATCAATGTGCAAAATGTACAAAAAGTTAACACAAATTTTCAAGAAAAATTAGCTCATGAAAGTGCTATTTCAGAGACTAGGAAAATAAAGTAATTTTTAAAAACACCCGCACAATGGAAAATGATTGTAAAACAGAGGAAAAAAAATGGGTACATACAAATTTACGATCGCAGCTGGGCGAGAATTTTGTCGAGATCCTGATCAGAGAGGGTTTCTTTTTGTTGCTTCGGAGCGGCAGGCATGGCAGCCAACTAAAAAACTTGTTATTAAAGTACAAAGGTAACAATATTTTTGCGTTATTGGTCTAGTAATTTGTAATATTGTTATGTGAAGTAATGAAAAGTTAGCCTGTGCTCGTACTTATATTACGCACGTTTTCTGACTATAAATACCAAAACAAAAAATCATTTGCACTTTTTACGATTATTAGATAGTTTAGTTACGAAATACGATCTTTTCATTCTAGGTCGTTAACTTTAAAACCCTCCAAAACTTTACCTTTGAGTTCATCTCGATACCGATCTCATCCAGCACTTGAGCTACAATGGCATCTTGTTCAGCCTCGTCACCTGGCTCATCGAGAATCGCGTCTAATGAATCGGACATCATCTAAAACAGTAAATGTAATATTAGTTTATACAAAAGATTTTTTTGAAAATTGCAACTTGAAATTACAAAGTTTTCTTAAAGATGTGAATGACATTAATGCTTGAGTAATGCAATTAGAGAGTTTATAAAAAATTTTCTTGAAACTTTCTATTGCACGCAATTCAGTTACAAAGCTACCATAAAACCAAAAAACCACAATTTACCCACTTAATGGGTCATTGATTACTTTCGAAAATGACAGCTTGTCTAGGCGAAAGCTCATAAATCTTCGCTGCAACGACAGCTACCCCCAATTTCATAAAAATATTCGATATTTTTTCCCAAATTTACCTCTTCCGTTAGTCCCATTCGTTCGCTTTGTTCCTGGAAGTCCTTCATTTGTTTCATCAATTTATCGGCTGGCATTTGTCTAAAACAATAATATTCCTTTTTTTTATTTGAATGATTAATAATTTATCAAAATATTTACATGAAACTTAAAAAATTTTTATCAAAGCCCTTACTTATTCATCGTCTTCATTGTATTCGCCGTTGAATCCATCACTTTTGCCATCGTGTGCATGCTGTGCATGTGGCTAAAACCAGAAAATAGAATATACTGTATTTTTAAAACAAACCTATTTTGTGCCTGAACACCACTCAATTTTGCCGACATCCCCACGCTTTTCCCCTTTTGATTTCGCAGTTGCACGAGTTGTTTGGCCAAAGTCGCGCACGCCTCCTTTTGTCCAGCTTTGGCGAGCTTCTTGATTTCCGCTTCCTAAAAAGAGATGTAAATTAATGATCAAAAGTTTAATGTTATCAGTATTCTTCTTCAGGCAGAGAAATTGTTATTTCAATTTTAATTTCAAAGCCAAAACATAAGTGAATGCTTCCGATTCTTTATAATAGCTCCGCAAAAAAATGAAAGTAAAAATGAACATTCCTATTCAACAAATTTACGAACAACAATAGCATTTTTTAGCCGTCCATTAATTAAACGGCTAACAAGCTAAACTTTCTTGTGCTTTACAAAAGACGAAAACTTACAAGTTCTTTCTCGCGTCGTTCCAATGCGCGTCGATCGGTCTCGAGATCTCGATTCGCCTTTCGAATTTCTCGCTGATTAGAGCGCATTTCTTCTAAAGATGAAAAATATAGGGTAATAGATCAAGATAAATCCACTCATATAAAAACTTTCTAAGGAAATGCTCGTATATTAATTCTGTTATTCAAAAGTTACCTTTCGGATCGGGCTTCTTGAAGAAATTCATTTCTCGTCACTACTGGGCTGGAGAAGCCTAAAAATAACAATACTTGAAACCATGCCGAAAAGGAAATATGAAATAAGCGAAAATGGACAAATCTACACATTTTCCTCAACTCAGAACTAAACTTTAAAGACGCGTGAAAGATTTCGCAATCGAATCGACGTTATCATTGGGGAGAAAAGCGCTATTATAACTCAGAATGCTATAGTAAATTTAGTAATAGTTAAATTCTACAGTACATTTAGGGATTTGGGAGGAAAAAGTAGAATTTCTATGTGCTTTGTTAGTGAAATTTCTAGGTTCTAAATTTTTCCAGGTCCCAGGGCCAAAAAAGGCAAGCAAAATGAAAACAGAAGACCGTGAAACAGGTGCATACTAGTTATTTTGCATAAAAATCCAAGTCAAATTTGGAAATTTCACCAGAAATTGAATGCAAATTGAAGCAAAAGCGACAAAACTGCACCACAAAAGTTCATTAAAAGTAAAATGGAGGAGTCTAGAGATTTCACAACCATCCCAGTGATATAGATGAGAGAAATGCGCTCTCATTCATGACTCACCCCCTTTCCCCACAAAAACACCCCATAACAGAAAACGTTGCCTCGGCAAGTGCCGAGAAAGCCCCCTCCCCTGGACAGGCTACAAATTTTCAAATTCCTGTGATAATAAGGGGAAATTTGGCCGGAAATACGAAATTTTTCTCGCTTTTACCCGCGATTAGCCTAAAAAATTGCGTATTAATATCGACAAGTGCTATTTCTAGCTCTTTGATCATTAAAAATGTAATTTGTTTCTTTGAGCTTTTGGTAAGCGCTAATCCGCTTATCGCTTTTGACATTTCTAGATTGGAAAACTTGAGCTTGATTTTATTTCTTTTTAAAATTTTTCTTGTTTGTTACTAATTTCTCTTTATAGATAAACAACCTGAAAACTGGGGTTGTGCCAAACGAGGGTGAGCAGCAGCTACGGAAAAGTCGAGCGTCAGGCAGGAATGAGTAAGTTTTTATTTAGCCAGCTTTATTAACTTAAAACGGTTATAACTTTTGATTGCTTAATAAAGTTAGTTAAGTTAAGGAAAAAAGGTAATTAGGTAATGAGCTTAAAAAGTTAAGCTCATTACCTAATTACTTTGGCTTTTAGCTCAATTGGCCCGCGATTTCTTGATAAACAAGTTCGAGCAGTACGAGAAGAATGGTTCATGGGATAACATTTATCAGGTAAATAACTGTCTTTTCATTAAAACAGTACCAGGGGCCGCTTAAAATTTTTGAATGTTTATATTTATCTGACATTTTTAGCGTCTGCTAGCTGAATCAAATCGGCAAGAGCGTTCTTTGAAGTTGACGTGTAAAGCAGCCCACTCAATTCAAAATGCACGAAAGAATCGCTACCGAGATGTAGCACCATGTGAGCTTTTGTGAATATAAGATTTATTCATATCCTAAACGTTCTTATATTTTTTTTATTTAGGGGATCATTCTCGAATCCACCTTCACGATGTGCCTGATGATGAATCCGACTACATCAACGCTTCATATGTTACGGTGCCCGGAACGGAGCGTCGTTATATTTTGTCACAGGTTAGTAAAGAGTAAAGACTTAAACGGCATATTATTGTTTAGGGACCACTTGAGGACACATGTCACGCCTTCTGGTTGATGTGCTGGCAGGTTGGGGGTTTTAATTTTCAAGTTTTTTTTAATGTATTTTTGTATGTATGTATGTGGCTTTTGTTGATTTTGTTTCCCGTTTGGTTTTTTGTATTGTTTCTAATAAATCCTCGCTTTGCTCAAGCCGGGTTTGCCTCAAGCTTGACATTCTCCCATCCGATGATGATGAGACGGCGAAACACATCTCGAAACTGTACTCGGCCAGGCGAGGCTAGCTCTCTTCAAAAAGCAGTATCCACTCAAAGAAAAAAATCATCGAGACGATCGAGGAATACTACGAGACTCTCTTCGACATTTGATTGTTTTTGTATTGTTACTTTAATGTTTGTTTTGTCTAGCACTTGTGGTCATTGTGCTTGTTTTTGTCGTATTACTTTTGTTTTACTGTGTTTTAGAAATCCTTTTGGGTCTGAAAAACTGAAAAAAGCATTGTGTTTGTTAATATATAAATTTTTAGGTTGAATCTCCTGGAATCATCATGCTCAACAAAATCATCGAGAAAGGACATTTGAAGTAAATTTTGTGAATAATCATTTGGTGACCAAAAACAATTCAGGGATGGCTATCACTTGCCTCCAGCAGGGTTAGTAAATTAGCTTCTTGTTGGTTTTTGGGCATGTTTTGGTGATTTTAAATATTCGACCTCTTGTCTGTTTATGAATAACCAAAAGTTAAATAGTCAACAAAATTTCTATCCCTGAGTTGCTTCTTTTAAAACTTTATAGATGCGCTTTAACCCAGTTTTTATAGAATTTAAGCTAGCAAATAATTACCATCGTTAAGTCTTACTAGAAAAGTATGTTGAACATTTAGATGTGCTGAATACTACCCATCGTTTGGAGGCGAACGAGAACTCGAATTCGACCCTTTTCGCGTGTCAGTGGTTGATGAACAGGAACGTGACAACTACATAATTCGTCGCATCCAATTGAGAAAAATTGCAACTGGTGGGTTAACGACATGTAGTTTTTAGTGAGAGTTAGTGTGTAACTTTGAGTTAACTGTGGATATTCAATAGGTTTTTAGGTGAAGAACGAGAAGTCTATCATATGCAATACACCGAATGGCCCGACTTTGGATGCCCACAAAGCACCGAACATTTCCTGGAGTTTTTGGATGATTGTAGAAGGTAATTGCGACATTTTAATTTTCCATTATCATTTTAGACGTGGTATTCTGTCTCGGACCAAGGATGATTCTCCTCCAATTGTACACTGTTCTGCTGGAATTGGCAGAACTGGGACTTTCATTGTTTGTGACTCAATTCTGCACATGGTATGTTTCTTTTGTCAACTAGTAACTTTCGATGATGATAGGTTGAATCCGGACGAGATTTGAATGTCGATCCAGAAGCGCTAATTGTTGAACTGCGCAAAAGTCGTATGGGTTTGATTCAAACTGCACAACAGCTTAGGTGAGCAACGGAACTCATTTTTACACATGAATAAATTTAGATTTTGTTGGAAGGCAATCGTCGATCGTCTCAAGACTTTGAAAGAAGTAAAAATTTCCACAATTTACGTTAAGTTAACTCTAATTTTTGAAGGCTCCAAAACAAAACACGGACGAAAGCGACGACGTGAAGGAAGCGACCGAACAGAGCGATACTCCAGCAACCGTTGATTCTGTTCGAACCGCTGTGAGTTTTAACAAATCAAACAACTAATAATTTTCATCAGACAAAGTCCTAGCAATTCATTTATCCAACTTATACAAGGAATGCCACATAAAACAGTTTATTTCCTAACTAGTAGAATAGTACATATAATGGCTCATAGAGGGTTGAAAGTGGCGTTGAGTGTCTTTTATTGAAGGATGAGGAATTTCTCGTGCGGGCATCTTTTGAAGTGTTATCCAGCAGCACACAGGTTGCAGCTCTGCTCCTCGCCCTTCCCCGAAGACTTCTTTTTCGACTCGGCGGTGGCTGATGGGAAAAGGGCATCGATGAGCGGCCCGAACAACCAGCACCTAAAAATAGCAATACAGAATTGGTTCCAAAGACTTGAATATGATTCCCAAAGATCAAATTAGCAAACAAATTAGTTACAGCAAACAAGTTAAAGAAAAACTATTCACTTCTCCTCGCCAAGCTTCTGGTTGGAATATTTGGCGAAGTCATCTGCGGCCATGTTGGGAGCGGTGGCACAATCCCCATCAATCGGTTGGCAAGTCAACGTGTCGCTCACATTGATACCAGCTGTGGCCAAGGTGACTGCCTCGAACATAGTGGCACTTCCGGGAACGTCGAGGATCGTCTAAACAAGAAAACAGTGACTGAAACAAACGACTCAACACTCACATCATTGGCGGCAAATCCATTCTCAACTTTGATCGAAAGCTTGGTCACCAACTGATGGGGAGTCTGGGTGGAACCCTATAACAAAGGATATGATTGTAAGGAAATCAAAAAAACCTTGCAGAATTCGAGGATTGAAGCGTGATTGTGGCGTTCGACGGGACGAGCGTAGATCGAGAGCTCGGCTTTTTTGCCAACTTTCTGGTCCAAATCAATATGAACGGGCGCGTATTTATGATCCTGAAGCAGAAGCACTTCACCTTCCAACTTGAGCATCTTCTCGCACGAGGGCACCAACTAAAGGAATAATATTAACACAGAACAACTAAATGGGGACAACGCTGGAAACAGCACCTTGACGACGAAATCTTTGTTGGTGGGGTTGCGGATGATGAGCGTTCGCCTGGTCGGGCCATTAGAGCCTGGTGGAAAAACCATCACAGTTGGAGTAGCCATCTAAAACTTACAAGCTTGAAAAAAACAAATAATACTATAGCAAAAACTTAAAGTAAAAATAAAGCTTAACTAAAGCCAAATGGTAAAATGTTACCTCTGTAGAGCTGCCGAAGGTAGGTCCCCGTAGTAGATCAATGATGATTCACTCGGGCGCTTGCTACTTTTATTTGACGCTTAAATGGAAAATTTCGGAACTTGGATGCTAATTTAAGGGTATAGTCAAACCTGATTTTATGCAAATTGGAATTACCAATCTTTTTTTTTTTTAGTCTACGTCGTCGATGAAGCGCACACATGAGACCGATCAAGAACTCGAGGAGCGACTTGCTAAACGGTAAATATTTTTGATTGCTTAGGGTTTCAGAAGTTAGTCGATCAGGCTAAATTGGGATCTTTTGGGGATTTTTGGACATTTTCAAAGGGCAGCTAACTTCTGAAACCCGATTCACTAGGATTTTTTCTAAAATAGCAAACCTTTTTGCCTAGATTTTGTTAAATTTCAGGCGTGAACTAGTTTCGCGGATGGTTGCTCGTCAAAAACAATCAGAAGCTGAGCGCACAAAGAATGGCGGAATCGGCAATTGGTTTGTGTATTTATTTTATTTTAAATCTAATACAGATGTCGTAGCCGCCGATGTTTGAAATCATTTTTTGCAAAAACCACTCGATTTTAAATGCAAATGTTTACATGCAAAATTTTTTAGTGAAACCTTATGAACTTTATGCAATTTTAGTCCTCAAATGATTGATACAACAGCAGCGAGGACGCATTTAATGAAAACAATAAGCTGACAATTTTAACAACAAAAATGTCTAAGGTGAAGCCGGTGTCACAATAGTAATGCTGTAACTATTACTGTAGAGTTAACGAACCGATGTCCTTAGTATCTACATTTTAATTTTTCCTTCACAGGTTTTATGATCTTCCTCCTCTTCAATTCATCGCCGCCGGTGCCGTTGCTGTATCTGCTGCACTCATTTACTATTATTATCAGAATCGTTAAGTTTGTGCCATTTTTATATCATTTGCGCCCTTTCTTTTCCCGTTTTTTTATTAATTCATGCATGAGTAGTTTTGTCTTTGAGTCGACGATGCTAAAATCTAGACATGACAGTCGACTCGATTTTTCAAAGGCCAAAATTTTCAGAATTTGTCAAAAAAAAGTCGAGTCGGTTTGAGTCGAGTTTGCCGGTTTCTACTCGACTCTACTCGAGGCGCATGTCTACTAAAATCGTTAAAAGCTCTAGTCTACGCTTAAGAGTTACTTGAAATTTCCTTTAAAATGTGATAAAATAGAGAAGTTCAAGTGAAAAGTATCAGTATTGAAGATAACAATTACTTGAATTTGGACGACGATAAAGCAGCTTTCCCCTATTTGATCTTGCAATCTACCATTTGTCCAAGCGGCCTTTTTTGTCTGTGCCTGAATTCTCTTTGTTTTATCTTTGTTTCATCATTGGATATCATTCATTTTCTCATTCCTTTCTCTAAAGTTTTTTTTCCAGGAGCTAGTTTTTTAAGTGCAACTTTGATTGTTCGAGTGACCCACCCAATGTTGTGATGATCTGATTGATTGATTATTCGTTCCTTTTTGATTTCAGAATAAACTTTTTCAAAAATTGCGATTAATATAATGTTTGGTAGCTTGTTGATCCTAAATCATATCGAAGAAAAAAATTTATTAATTTGATTCTGTTGGATAAATTGCGCTTGTAGAACACGTTAATTCTTATTTTAGATGTTCGGCAATTCGTCGCCTTTTGGAGCAAAACCGCTCTTTACATCAACGACTGCCGCTTCACAACAGCCAAGTGAAGACTTTGTGGTTTGTTATTTTACTTTATGTGTAGATATAGAGTATTCTTGTAAGGTAAAAAAAGCTGGTAGTCAAGAACATAATTCCAATCACTTAATGTTAACTTTTGTTATTTTGATTTGAATTTCCACTTTAGTTTAGATTTTCGTATGAGTTTGCAACTATAACTCACCAATTTAGGTAAATGGAGCTCCAGAAGATACGATATCAAAAATCAAATTTGCGCCTGCACAAGACCAAGCTCTGCTCGCTTGCGGCTCTTGGGATGGGACAGCACGGTTTGGAAGCTTTTTTTGATTTGAATGCAATTTTATTTTTTTGAGAATTTGGCAAGTAAGCGACAGTTGTCAAAGTGAAGGGAAGGCTGAACAAAAGATGCCAGCTCCAATCCTCGATATTGAATGGTTTGACGTAAGTCTGGCTGCAAAGTTCTATGTGCTTATTCCCGTTTTAGGATAGTTCAAAGCTCTTCTTGGCTTGTGCCGATAAAGAAGTCCGATGTTGGGATCTTGCTTCAAACCAGGTGGCTACGGTGGGAACACATGATGGTGCTATCAAAACCTGTCACTGGATAACTAGTAAGTCATGTATTTTCACAAGTAACGAAGTTGTCAACTGTGAAACTTGTATTTTTAGGATCACAGTATTCTTGCTTGATGACGGGTAGCTGGGACAAAACACTTCGATTTTGGGATATGCGACAATTGCCAACGCAGTCTTCATTGAGAACCATTCAGGTAAATAAATGATAAATACAACAGATACTGATAACAAAAAGAAGTTTTACATTGAATTGTGACCAGTATTATAAAATACACCGTAACATTTGATATTTTAGTTACCTGAACGTGTCTTTTCGGCTGATGTTTTGGGTCCGATGGGCGCTGTTGCACTAGCTAATCGTCAAATCAAGGTATGGATGAACTTCTTGATAAACAGTCCGTGATTACAGGTTTACAATCTTGAAAATGCACCAGAGGAGGTTAAACAGTTTGAGAGTCAGCTGAAGATGCAGGTAATTAACTCTAATGTGATTTTAGAATTGTTTTACTTTAGAGTCGATGTCTTTCAATTTTCAAGGATCGCCAAAGTGATCAACCAACGGGTTTTGCATTAGGCTCAATTGAAGGTAAATTTCTTGTTTGAAACTAGACAGTACTTAATTCAACGACCTTTTAGGGAATATTTTTTATTTTAGGCCGAGTTGCTGTTCAATATGTAAGTCCAAGGGATCCCAAGGATAACTTCACTTTCAAATGTCATCGTTCTGCAGAGATCATCAATGGTTATCAAGAGATTTACCCGGTAGAGTTGTACAAGATTGTTTTGGCTAACCAAGCTAATGTTGGTCTTTGATGGTTTTTAAAATTAACATACAAATTTATTTAGGTAAACGATGTTTGTTTGCATCCAACTTATGGAACTTTGCTCACGATTGGCTCAGATGGCCGTTATTCGATGTGGGACAAAGATGCTAGGACTAAATTAAAGGTAGATCCGTAATATCATTTCTTATTTATTGCTGATTTAGACTTCTGAAACATATCAAATGCCATTAACTTCTTGCCATTTCCATCCTTCCGGTAACATTATGGCTCTCGCAGCTGGTTACGATTGGAGTCGAGTACGTTTTTGAACACTTTTTACAATAAAATGCACGTGAAATTTGTTTCGAAAAGCATAGCAATGAAGAGTGTTTTCGAGCGTAGATTAAACGATTGCTGAAATCAATGCTTTTAAATTGATTAATCTCATTTCATAATTTTTAGGGACACGAATTCAACACACAACCCGGCTCGAAGATTGTTCTCCACAAATGCTCAGAAGACATGAAACCACGACCAAAGAAGTAATAAGTTATCCCTTTTGCTAATTGATTATGTTTTCTTACATCCCGGTCGTGTTTCGTTTTATTATCTTTCACATTGCTATGCTTTTCGGCATAGATAATTTTTGATCTCTTTTTAGGCGGTTATGAATAAAGTGTTTAAATCTACAATACACGCCAGCAACAATGTAGAATAGCCGTCAATCTGACTAAAGTAATTAACGGTGAAATCATGAAAAGTGTCGAAGTCAGCTAAATTGAGTGCCCCATTTGGCGCCTTCTTCACAGTCTCTTATCTCACCTTTTTTGGGAAGAACTGTGACCAGACGAGTCGAGAAAAATTCACGCCCTAGCACCAGCTCTTTCTCGAGCCTTTTTAAGATTTGCACTAAAATATTAGTATGTTCAGGACAATTCTTGTGCTGTTCGGCGTCATTACTCTTAGTGTTTTGGTGGGTTTTATGGTTGTGCCAAGTATCTTCAGATTTCAGTCCCATTCATCCCTCCACTCACGCCGACCACGATCCAGTCAAGACACGAGGTGCGTAAAAAGATTTTTTCAAATACGATTCATTACACAAATTTCAATACTACAAAGTGTCAACATTTTACAAATTATCACAAAATGGCAAAAGGAAAGGGACATTTACACATATAGGAGGATCATAAAAATTGAACTAAAAGTGTGTGAAAATATCACAAAACATGAACAAAAAAGCTTGAAAACTCACACAAAATCACGGAGAGAAAAATCGAGTCGATTCGGGGCCAAACTTTCGCTGTTGCGCTCATTTCGGTGTGAAGTGACGATCGGTGAAATGTGGAGATTTGAGAGCAATCTAAAACTAAAGTCAAGAGTTGGCAGTCGTGAAAATTTTCAAAGTTGGCACTAATTAGGCCACAAAAGGCTTACTTGCTGATGAGCGCGACAAAGCTCGACGAATTGGCGACGTCGCAGCTCTTCTTGTTTCTCTTGTTGCTTCTAAAGTTGAAATATAGCAAAGATTATGTTATTTTAGTTTGATTACATACAAAACTATTATAATTATTCGTGAAACTATTCAAGAATCCCGGATGACTTTTAGCGACCCACTAATAAAACCCACCATATGCTTTTTGATCCGTTGAAGAGTCGCTTGGACCAAGAGGAGTCGCTTTTGTTTGGCGACTTGCGCATCGGGGAACTTGTAGTTGGGCACCATCTCCTAAAAACAAAGATAAAGTTAATGCAATAAAAAATAATTACCGTAAATATTCTATTAGAAGAGCCCTCTATAGGACGTCGCGTAGTCTAAACGCTCTCAAACAAACGCTCATATCTCAGCACCAGTACGTTTGTTTCTGCGTGCTTAGGTATCAAATTAAAGTCGAGAGGATGGATAATTTTTTTGAGCTACAACACATATTTTTAGCATTAACCAGCACTTAGAACAATGATTGAAAAATAATGAAGAATCGGCTTCATTTTTTCATTTTTTCTAAGTGCTGGTTAATGCTAAAAATATGTGTTATATATCAAAAAATCACCCATCCTCTCTACTTTAATTTGATACCTTAGCGCGCAGAAACAACTGTCTGGGCGCCGATATGAGCGGTTCTTTGAGTGCAAATTCAAAGACTTAGACTACGCCACACTGTTATAGGGGGGCTTCTATTAGAGTATTTACGGTAACTAGTTCGTTAAGTTTCGTTGTTACTTAGAAGTGATGCGTAAACTCTACAAGTGCCTTCGCAAGCAATGTTTTCTACAAAGCGCTACGCGTAAATGAACAGTCTCAAAAGATAGATCATCATAGAATCAAGATGCCTAGACAAAGCTTATTGATCAGGTACTCTGTTCAAAGATTTTCCTTCTTTATCCACTTCAGCAATTTCAAAACTAGGTGCTATAGTTGTTGGGGGGCAGTGTACATTCATCTCTATTGAGCCAGAGCGCACTAATTTTTGCTTCTAGGCGTATATTCATAATTTTGTATTTGTTTAAGCTTTAGTGACTGTTTTCTAGCTCTTTCAGGCAGTTACTTAGGTTTTAAGCCTCTTAATTCGGTCCGGCACCTCTACGCCCAGTGGAAATCGAGCCACTCTTGAAGGCTCGGAATTGTTGCTCAAACTGGCATACAAGTTGTTCAGAATGGTTTGTAAATGCTTCCAATGGATTCAGTGCAATTAATTACCCCAGAAAGTTTTTAAAACCTGTGGCAAGTTCGAAAAACCGATGTTGACAAACTGCCCCACCCCAACTACTATAGCACCCAAAAGTATACCTGAATGATGAAATGAATGGGGTCCTTCGGACGGGTCGGCTCGGGCATCTTATAGAGTTTTCCGATCGCCGCCGCAAACTTCTTCAGCACCTCGGTCTTCTCCAGGTAGTCGTTGTATGCCTAAATGAGAAATATTTTTGGAGAAACCAATATAAAGCTTTTATAATACAATCTTGTGATCTGTTATCAAATCCAAAGCTTTACCTGATACTCAGCATCTGCCACTTTTCGCGAGATGAACGGCCCGCTCGACATCACTAAAAAGACACAATTAATGCCATAAAACTTATCCGGAACAAAAATATCGAAGCAAAACTTTAGAAAGGTCGCACATCTCTCCGACGGTTCACCAGCTGAACGCGTTATCATTATCGATGGGAGAATTTACAAAGAAATCAAGGTTTGTGGCATAAAATTTCGTTAAAAAGCAGAGCCTAGGAGTTGAAATTGCTAGAAAATGGAGAATTCGAGTTGGTCACTCGTTTAGAACTGCAGAAAATGAAGCTGGTAAACAGCAGGTTGAAAGATTTTTCTAATTTTTAAAAACTAATTGACCTAGGCAAAAGTTTGAAGAACCTGAAGAACCGGAAGAACCAGAAGCGCCAGAAATTCCGGAGAAACCGAGGGAGAAATTGGCAAGTTGGAAAATGCAGTGAAAATTTCGAGTTTTATACTTTCAAGCCGTCGTCGTTTTCCGCAAAATAGAAAACGGGGTTCGGTAGAATGAGTTGAGAGTGATTTCAGATTTACGGATACTTTTGAAAGTGCTATAACTTTTCTTTTTTGAAGATATTCAGTGCTTTTAAAATACTATTTTATATTTTAACTTTCAGGATATTCGCACGCATTGGTTCGCCCCAGGTGGTCAACCGGAGTTCCCTAAATTGGTAAGTAAAAAGTAGATTTGTTGATAGCATTAAAATATAAGAAGTATTAAGGGATCCCGGACCCTTGCTCCAGTACTCCCAGCGGGTATTTAGACAATTGGGGGCACATTAAATTTTCTGGGGCAGGCTAATTTCCGCAATTTTTTTTGCGCAACAGGGTCGTTTGCGCAACTCGCCATAACTTTCTTCCAAGTGGACCAATCTTTATGGTTTTGGTTTCATTTTGTTGCATTTATTGAGATCTACAAAATGAAACCAAAATCCTAAAGATTGGCTTAAGAAAGTTATGAGTTATGGCGAGTTGCGCAAAAGACCCTGTTGCGCAACTTCACGCCAACTTTCAGAAAGTATTTGTTTTATCAGAATTTACTAACAAAAACCTATCAAAAATTGGGTTGCAAAATGGTCAAAAACTTGGCCCTCCCCTCCCCGATAATCGCTCGACCGTAGAGCAACCGTAAAGCACTCAAGTAACAAAACAAGTAAAAATCAAACAAGCTAAAGGGAAATGCAGAGTTTTTTCAAAACAAAAAAGTTACTCAAATACATGTTTTTAAAATTAAAAACATACCGTAAATACTGTAATAGTACCCCACCACCATAATGACGGTGCGGAGTGTTGAGTAGTCTAGCTTTGAACGAGTTTTTCTCGACACTGGTTTATGCTACAATGCGCGCTTAGGTATCAAAAAATAGCTGAAATTCAGGGCTATTTTTTGATACCAAAGACACATTTTTGAAAGTACGGGCGCTTTGAAAAAAAATGAAATGCTAAAAAACTTTTGCGACTACACGACTGTACGAGGGGGGTGGGGTACTATTACAGTATTTACGGTAACTTAAACCCCCCAACTGCCTTAGTATCAAAGCTAATGCTAAAGAAGAAGCACAGTATTTTAAAAACGTTATCCGAAGTCTAAAATCCGTTTTCAAACCAGATTTTCCAAGGTCTATTCACTAAATTACGGCTGGAAAGAGGTTTACGATGAGGAAGAGTTCCGCGAGCTGAAAATCACCTACACGGCTCCATGGGGATTGCCCGGATTACGGTGGATTGAGGTGAGATACAAGAAAACAGTTGATTGATGAAGTACGGTAGCTTCATCTAATCATTTAGAAAATTACAAGCTTAGAATCTTAGCTTAGCTGAGACTTCTATCAATTCAAAATCAAATCTCAAAATCAGGTTCCCTACACTTCAACAAAGCCGGAAAGTCGAACAAAAGTGGCAATTCCGAGCGCTTTCGTGCCATTGAATGATGAGAAAAAAGACGAGAAAATGGTGGCCGTCAAAAAAGTTCACGTAAGGGATACAATAATCGAATACTATAATGAATTTGTAGATTAGAAGAATAATAATCAAGTTGCCAAGATGAAAAACTCGTTTAAATATGCTTTTTAAAGTTATGAGAAATTAAACCAGTTTCAGCTTCGAGTTTTCGCTGCAGAAAATGATGGAGAATTTGTGAATGTTTGTTTTTAACTCTTTTTAACTCTATTCAAGTTTTAGATTCCGAAAAATACACCTGAAGCTGAAAATGAGAAAGCCGAAGTGGTTGAAGAGCCGAAAAATGAAGATGTTCAAGATGGAGAAAAGGGAAATGCGGAAGGGAAAGGTTTTTGTTTCAAAAGTTGCGAGCAATCTCTTTCTCTTTAGAGCAACCTCTTTCTCTTTAGCGCAATCTCTTTCTACCTTTATTATCTCTTTATCTATCTTTATCATCTAGCAATCTCTTTATCTCTTTCTACCGTAAACTTGTCTATTTTTATCCAATCTAACCACTTTTTCTATCTTTCGATATCCTTTATAAATCCTCACAGAATCAGAAAAAATGTCGATAGATAAGAAAAAGAAAATTGGATAAGAAAAAGAGACAAGATTACGGTAGAAAGCGACACGGTTTAAAATAAAATCGAAGCTTAATCTTAATATTTTTCGGGGGTGGGACAAATGCGACCTTTTTTTGGCGCACCTGGACATTTGCGCACCTTTTTTTTTGTTGGAAAAGGCCTTAGGCAAGGCCGTAGAGCTTCGAAAATACTTCCATATAAGGGAATCGTATGCGTAGATTCCGAATTTCGACAAATCAGACCTCGCTGACAAGTCAAATTTGGGCTAAAAGGCAAAAACTGCGGAAAAGCGTTAAGTTGCGTAGTTTTTGTCTTTTAGCCCAAATTTGACGTGTCAGCGAGGTCTGATTTGTCGAAATTCGGAATCTACGCATACAATTCCCTTCTATGAATACATTTTTGAAGCTCTACGACCTTTCCTAAGGCCTTTTCCAGCAAAGAAAAGGTGCGCAAATGTCCAGGTGCGCAAAAAAAAGGTCGCATTTGTCCCACCCCCATAGTTTTCAGAAAAACAAGAGTTCATCTTCAAAAACGCGACCACGACGTTGAAAATGGAGGAAGTGACTCCGAAAACGCTTGAAGATGATAAAGAACAAAATCCACAAAAAGATGAAAAAGGTTCTAAAAATGATAAAGATTTGGAAATTTATGAAACAGCACTAATTACTTTTCTATTTTTTTAAAAATCTTTATTCTTTTTTTCTATTCTATTTCTAAACTTTTCAGAATCCACCTCAAAAGCCACGACATTTCTCGGAGAATTGATGGGCTCAAGGACAGACACTTGTCCTCCGATTACGGTAGGTTAAAAATCAAAACAAGTTGAATAATAGGACTATTATGCTAATTGGTAGACTTTCAAAGTGCTCTAGTTGAATAGCTGAATTGAATAATTTTCGGTGAAAATTCAAACAAATGGGGTAGCGCTGCCCCTTTTTCTGCGTAGATCTTTCGTAGTTGCTCCTTTTGTTTGAAATTCCCCACGAAATTAGAAGATATTCAGCTGACTTTGAAATTAAACTAATAAGCTGTATTTGTTGTAGAATATTTTTGCTATTTACTAATCAAATTCAAATTTTCAGGTTCGAGGGGAAGAAAGCGAGCCATTGTACTGGATCGTTCGCGCTCATCCGTGCAATGAGAATCCGCTTGAATTAGCAAAAGTAAGCTTATAGACAAAGAACATATAAAAAAGCGCAATCATCAAACCATCAACACCTGATCTTAAAGAATTTCGACTTCAAACATCCAAATGAGACTTGTGCATTTTGTGGTGATTATCAGATTATCAGATATTTTTTACAATAGCCTTTAAAAGACAAAAAGATCAACTATTGATCTCATCAAAAATACGACCTGGATCTCCTATACCTGAATTTGGATCTCCTATATCTGGATCTGGATCTCCTATACCTGAATCTGGATCTCCTATCAGATTACAATCGTTTGATACGCGCTCCTAAAGGAGGCCTTTGCCATTGGCAATCCAACAACTCAAATATCTTGGTTTTGAGCTGTTCAATTTATAAATGATTGATATCATTAGATGCGTCAAATCTTTCTCTGTCGATTGGTACAAAAACTATTTAGATTGGACAGCTGAACACCAAGAAATTTGAGCTCAAAGTTAGATTGCCAATGGCAAAGGGGGCCGGGTGCGCATCAAATGCCCCACAATGTTTTGTGGTCAAATCTGTAAACACATTCTTTCTGGTATACTGTTACATTTTCTAACGCGCGTCACGTAAAGCGAAGAAAATCGAGTGTACCAGAAAGGATGAGTTTACAGCTTGATAGCACAAAGAACATAGCTGGCCAATTTCCACTGGCTTTTAGTACTGATACAGGACTGATCCATCTGATCCAAGAGCCAGGCTGGGCAGACCAGGGTCAATCAGGGCCAGTCAACTAGGTCATCAGGGCCAGTTAGGCCAGGGAAAGTCCAGGGTTAGGCTAGGGCCAGGCTATGTTCAGGGCCAGGCTATGTTCAGGGCCAGGCTATGTTCAGGGCCAGGCTATGTTCAGGGCGAACCAGGCCAGATCAAGGGCAGAGCTATGATCTAATATTAGCTTGGTAAATATGAAAGGTTATTTTTTTGATCATTTGTAACATAACAGGAAAACTTATTTAAACACTTTCAAAATCAAATGTATCCACCACAAGCATTAATAACTTCTTTCCAACATCGCCCCAAATCACGAATACCGTCCTCGTAAAATTGAAGATTTTTAGAGGCAAAATAGTTGGCAACCCAATTTTCGATGTCCTGCTTTTGTTTGAACTGCTGTCCAGAAACTGCTTGTTTCATAGACCGAAAGAGATGGTAATCCGATGGGGCTAGATCAGGGCTGTATGGTGGGTGTGGAAGAAGTTTTCAGCTCAACTTATCGATTTGTTCGTGGACGATCTTTGAAATGTGAGGCCTAGCATTGTCGTGAAGAAATCTGACCTTCGATGGATCGATCCTCTTTTTCCTCAATGCTGGATCGACTCAACCCATTTGTTCTGCATAAAGTCTTTCGTCAACAGTGTCTCCTCTATCTAATATTTCCAAATGAGCCAATCCCTTAGCATTCCACCACACACAAAGCATAACTTTTTCGGAGGCTTCGGGATAGGATGAGAGGTCTGCTTCGAACTCAGCCACTGTCCATAGAGTTGAATATTTTCATACGAAAGCCAAGTCTCATCAGATGTCAAAAAATACTTCCAAAAGTCACGATGGCTAGCTTTACGTAGAAGAACAGAGCTCAAGGTGACTCGTGTGACTTTGTGGGCATCAGTGAGGTCGTGGGGGAGCCATTTCCCGCTTCGATATGATTTCCCAAGAACGTGTAAATGGTAACATGAGTGCATCCGAACTTTTCTGCTAATTTTCTACACTTTTGCAATGGATCCAAGTCGACCTCGTTCAGTAATAGCTGATCGTCCAAAGTAATCGGCGGCTTTCCATGTGATGCATCTTCCAATGACTCGTTTCCCGTTTTGAAGTGATCGTACCAAACACAACATTGTTTGTAAGTAAGAGCAGCTTCCCCAAAAACAGTACAAATGTTCTGATGGCATTCCGTAGCTTTCTTGTTTAAATTGAATTCAAAGAAAATGGCGGCCCTGATTTTAAATTTTTGGTCATCCATCTTTGCTGAGCTGAAACAATACAAATATTATTCAAAACAAAAAAGGTTTTTGCAAAAAAAGCATTAGCACATTTTGACATATTATTGAGAAAAATCCTACACAGCGAATGTTCTTCGTAACGGACAGGGCAATATTTTTTGTAAAAAATAACCTTTCATATTTACCAAGCTAATATTATAGCAAGTCCAATCCAGACCAGGGCCAGATCAGGGCCAGACCAGGGAACTGAATATCTTTCAAGTTATAGTAGAACAAAAGGTATTCAATCATGTTAGTTGAATAGTTTTTTCGGGTTTTCGGGATACTTTAGTGTGTGAGGGTTACAGTATTCTAAACTTTCCCATTTAGATTTTCACCACCGATGACGGGAAATCTTTCGCCTACTATGGCCGTCCCGAGCTCGTCTCGTTGAAGAAAAAGAAACCTCTATAAACATTTTCAATGCAAATTTAATTAAACTAATGTTAGCTAATCTCTTTCTAAAAATTGCTAAAAACTTATCTCTTTCTAAAAATTCAAATCTCAAAGCAGAATTTTCACCTATTTCTCGCCTGCTACAATTCTACCTCACTACCGTAAACCCCAGTTGGCTTACGGTGGTTTATTTCTCCAAAAATCGTTATAAATCTTTAAGAGATCAGTCTAAATTTAGCAATTGTACAGTTGTTTCGTTAAAATTTTCACAAACCACATGATCAGTGTTTATTTTTTCTGAAAAAAAACCCAACAATTGGCTCGAATTTCCCCACAAAGAACAGAAAAAAAGTGAATTGGCCCATTTTCTTTAGAAAAAATTCCTGTACGTTACAGTTTTTTTAGGAAAATTCTCTTTTTTTTATAAAGTGGCTTACAAAAATATTACATTTTGGGGAATTTAGATGATCGCAAGCAATTTTTGCACTGAATTCTTAGGGAATTTAGTTCCCAGTTCAAATTTTCCAATTTTCTAACGATCTAATTCTGTACTTATTGTTAATATTGTACTTACTGTTAATATTAAAAGTAGAAAAAGCATGCGTTATAGTACTTTAGACTGCATTTACTTACAGTACCCTTACGCGTCATACCCTTACCTGCAGTACCTAATAGGAACGTGTTCTCTCAAGAATTCATTTCCTAAACTGTGCCCCTTTCTACCGTAAGCTTGTCTTAACTTCTACCGTAATCTTGTCTCGTAATCTTGTCTTGGAATCTTGTCTTGTAATTTTGTCTCCAAAAGTGCCGACGCCGAGTCGAACCCAAGTCGTGTGGGCTAGAGAAAAGTGCGCTTGCACTGCACTGCTTGCACTAATACATACGAACGACATAGCTTTTCGGAATCAATGAAAATTTCGCCACAAAAACGTATTCCATTTAAACATTTAATGTTTCATTGTCAGAAAATGAGAATGAAATTTGAAAGTCATAAAATTATTTGCTTGTCAAATTCAAAATTATCTGCTTGAAAATCTTGTAATCATGTGCGAAATGAGGCGTGAAAATGAGCAATAAAAATTTGATGGCTCAAAAATTTCGCAGCCTCCATTTCTGATTCTTATTGAGTATTCGGAAATTACTTTTTTTTCTTTTAAATTAGCGCTTCCTCATTTTAAACTCAAACTGTATAATGTAAGATTGAAAAATCTCAATTGGACCAATAAACGAAAGGCTCAAAAACTTGTTTTCAAGGGTTTTCTAAAATGGGGAGTCTAAATTCGTCGTTAGTTTTGAAATCTGCCACCAGACACATCAAAAACTTGGGTAATTAAACCGAAATGAAGAGAAAAGAAAGGAAAAAATCTTCATTCGGTCCCCTTTTATCTAGAAGTGTGCTAGAAGCCGCGCGATTAAACATGAAAATCTTCATTGTTTTATATCCTTCTATCTTTCCCCTTCTCCCTTGTCTTTCCGTTTTTCTCTCGGGGATTTAAGGTACCGGATGGCTCAGTGGTTAAAGGGAGGGCCTGGGAAGCGGTAGGTCGAGGGGGGCCGAGGGTTCAATCCCCTCTTCTACTTTTTTTTGCCAATTCCTTCACTTCTTTCTTAGATTACCTTTATTTTTATCTTTATTATATTCTTTATTATATTCACTTCTTTGTTTATATAGCTTCTTTATTATTCCCTCACTTCTTTATTACCTTTTCTTGCCTTCTTGCGCGAAATTCCAAAATAACCGTGATTTTTTCACAAGAAAATCAATAACTTTGGTAGTTTTCAACGTTTTTCCAATTTTTTTTGATTTTTTAATAGAGGAGATATCAGGGCATCTTTTGATACAAAAATCATCAAAATTGGTCAACTAGAAAAAGTTTCTTTGGTGACGAAGTGGAGGAGGCCTCAAAATGGCTGAAACGCTCTATTTCGAGTATTTAGAGTTACTGTAGATCAACAATAACGCTGGATTCGGATTCCCCGCCCTTGAAAACCCTAGAAAACAAATTTTCAGTCGAATTGGTTCATAAAAACGGCAAATCTAGCGCTTGGTCACCGGTGACTCAGATGGTCGCGAATCGAGCGTACTTCTTCCCAAAAAATCTCTAAACACATCCTTTCTGGCGCACTGAATTCTTCACTTTCTCGCAATAATGCTTTGGTTCTACGAGAAAAAGAGGAATTCCAGTGCACCAGAAGGGTTCTGTTTACGAATTTGAGCACAAAGTACAACTCTTTTGAGTGTACTTTGTGCTTAAAATGACCGAAACACAAAAAGTTCTTGACTTTTTCATCAAAATAATCACATTTTCTTGTGGTAAACAGCTAAAAGCGAAGAATTCAGTGTACTAGAAAGCGTGCGTTTTCAAGTTTCCGCTAAAATTCCCATTTTTTCTGTCATATTCTCATCATTTTGCTCAAATTTTTGCAAATTTCTCAGAAATCAGCAACACTGTTCTTTTTTATTTCATTTTAAGCGCTTTCAATGATCAAAGGATCAAAGGAAAAGCCGACACAGATGTGAAAAAAAAGAGCAAAGTATAAAAAAATCAAAAATACATCTAAAAACATAAAAAATTTCCTTTCTTTGACCATTTTATCAAGTTTTAATCATTAAAAATTTCATGTTTTTTCGATTTTTTTGATTTTTTTTGAGTTTTTATGAATCAAGGAAGTAAATTTTTTCAAATTTTCAATTGTGGATTCAATTGTGACTAAAACTTTGACGGAGTGTCTTTGTTTTGAAAAAAATGCCATCTAACTAAAAAAAATTCCTCCATCTGGCTCTATGCCGATGATGTTAAGCTTACGTTCAAAATTCCCATCGGAACTCAAGTAGCTTCGCTTGCGGCTGTAAAAGATGCAAACCATGACTTAGAACTTATTAATTTGTGGGCCAAAACGTGGAAGCTTTCCCTATCCCCTTCAAAATCTCAACATTTTTCCACTGGTAAATTTAGTTTCTCTTTGGTAATTAACAATATTCCTATCAATTACATTAGTAAATTAGGTTTCGTTAGAGATTTAGGTGCCCACATCTCTCCCCCTTTTAATTTCACTAAACATATTGAAATCATTTGTCGAAAAGCTTCTTTTGTTTCTAGCCGTATTCTCAAATCAATTGTTCATCCTAACCTAAACTCTTACCGCAAATGCTTGACGACTTATATCCGGCCCATCTTAGAATATGCTTCTATTGTTTGGTCTCCCCGCGCACAAGTCTTTATTGAACGCTTGGAGAAAATTCAGAGGAGGTTCACAAAAGTCGCTTTATGGAAAATTGACTATTCTAAATATTCTAGCTTTACTTATGAGGAGAGACTTGCTTTTTTTGAACTAAAAACTTTACAGCATCGTCGCTTTGTCATTGATTTAGTCGAAACTTTCAAAATCCTCCGTTGTAAACAGATTAGCCCTTTGTTTATAGACTTTTTCAAATTTAAACCGCGGTCAGGGCCCAGAAGTGGCTCATTCCTTTTGCAAATTCCCTTTGTTTCCAATGCCTCTTTATCAAATTCATTTCCCGTTAGAGCCGCTAGATTATGGAACTTGCTCCCAAACGACATACGAGAAATTCAGTCGCTTTTCATATTCAAGAAACGTATCGATGCTTTAGATCTAGTGGCTCTTTGCCGTAAGTAATTGGCTTATTGATTTCAGTATGTATTGTATGATTAAGTATCACTGTGCATTTCTCTATGATTTCTTTCACTTTATCGTTTGAATAAAGTATTATTATTATTATTATAACGTCATCTGACGCATCTGCTGGTTAAACCGGTTATCCCAAAATCAACTCTTTGATTAACCAAAAATCGACCCAATTTTTACTTCATTTTCTTCAATTTCTTAAAATAAGATAATTTCAATGCTGTGCTCTTTTCTTTCTTTTCTTTCAATGCTCTTTTCTTTCTTCTTCAAGTGCGAATGATGAGCTAGAATGACATTTGTGCTTTCTCGTGCCATGCTTTGGCTTTCCGTGCTCGTGCTTTCCGGGCTCACCAAAAATCTTTTCCTTTCAAAGTTCACAAGATTTCCACTTTCATCAATGATTCATTTTGGCTTTAGGAAAGAGAAATCATTTCATTTTTAGATTTTCTTGTGCTAATTGTAAGAAACAGGATTGCTGAATAGTCAAGTTAGCCAATTGAAATTACCGTAAATATTCTAATGGAAAGCCATCCCCATAATGACGGGTGTACACGTTTACAAAAGTTAAATGGACCCTAGGGCCTATAAGCCAGGTCAGGGTATAGAGTAGTGTTTTTTTCAGTATCAACCCTTTGATTTTAACTATTTTGACTAGCATTCGATGCAGAATGAAATTGTGCGTCGAATGATACCAAAATCAACACAAAATATAATTTTCACGCAAAGTTGTTGGCTAAAAACCTTTCTTGTGCTAATTGTAAGAAACGGGATTGCTGAATAGTCAAGTTAGCCAATTGAAATTACCATAAATATTCTAATGGAAAGCCATCCCCATAATGACGGGTGTACAGTCGCGTAGTCTAACCTCAATCCAATAGAGAATTTAAAACGATCAATGAAGTGAAAGCGGAAATGAAAATTGACGCTTTAAAGTCAACAATTTGACGAGTCGTCAAGGAAAACCCACATCTCGATCGGCGTACAGTCGTGTAGTCAACTTTAGACGTCCTGTTCTCCGCGCTGCTTTATGCTACAGTGTGCGCTTGAGTTTCCAATGATAGCTCTTGAAATCTAGTATTTTTTCATATCAAAAGTGTACTTTGAAAAGATCTAGGGACTGAGAAAAAATGATTTTCGAAAAAGAAGTTAGACTACGCGACTGTACGAGGAAATGGCATTCTATTATAGTATTTACCGTATTTTCAACTCTATTGTATTGTACAATTGATTATTTATGCAATTCTCTATTTAAACTATTACTGCAGAGTTTACAAAAGTTAAATGGACCCTAGGGCCTATAAGCCAGGCCAGGGTACAGAGTAGAGTGTTTTTTTCAGTAGCAACCCTTCGATTTTGCCTATTCTGAC